CACACATAGTGAAGAATGGGCATCATATTTGTCATCATAATAGTAAACGTCATCTCTATCCAATGAGTTGGATGCAATTTTATTTCTGTCATAGCTGATGATATAAATACATATGGCAACCTAAATCAACAGTGCTGAGACAAGCCCCCTCTTCTTCTTTGCTTCTATTCTACTTCATGGTTAGTTGTTACCTTACCCCACTGTCTGACAAGGTAAAGCCGCTGTCTTCCTTTTCATCTTTATGTTTTTCTTTTCTCCATTTCCGATTTAGTTCAATTATTAAAATGTTTCTTATTGTTGTTTGATCTCTTGAATCTGTTTGAATGGCTACACTATATATATATATATATATATATGTATGTGTGCGCGCGTGCTCTGATTGTGATCTCAGAGAAAAAATTTCCGTCAAGTTGCTATGGTCCTTGAAATTTATCTGCCTTATCTCCTGTTCCTTAAAAATCTCCTTTTCTTTTTCCCTCAATCTTTCTTCTTCCTTTCCCTTCACCTGCCTCCTCTTTTTCTCAGCTCTTCTGAGTATTGCAGTAAAAAAAAAAATTCTACCAATAAATAAATAATTTCAAAACTTTTACTCATATGTATGTGTCCAACTTTTGTAGTTCTTTCATGCGTCACGAAGGCCACACCATTATTTTGAATGAAAAAAAAAAAATTTGTTTAGGGAAATATTCAATGCATGCTGCCTTTAGAAGGAAATGAACTGCCTCACATGACTTTAATTTTACTCTCCTTGACAATTTAATAGTTTCTTAGTTTCTCATGCTTAATTCTAAATCAGTGATAAAGAAAGGTAATGCAAATAAAAGAAAAACAAAGAAGAGTAGAAAACCTGATTCACTCTGATCTGATTAGAGCCTATTTGTTCCATGAGAAATCCTTAATGTCTTTTGGTCAAGTCATTGATTATTTCCAAATTAGCATTCTTAAATGTATCCTGTGTCATCAATTTTTAGTTGAAATAATGATCTTGATAGAATCCCAGTTCTTTGAATTTTCAGCCTTCATAAAGTAAACAATGGATCGATTATTACCTAGTATTTGGGCTTTTTTAATCTTACTGTGGGAATTTATGTGATTCAATGTCATGAGGAAGCTATAATAGAAGGTTCAATGTGGGAAAGTTCAATGTATGGATTCATGCAGTAAGTTCGGCTGTGAAATACATACTGACAAAGGCTTTATCATGCAGTGTTATGCCCACCCATCCTCCACAGTAGAATGAAAACATTTGGCTTTCAGTTTTGGTTTTGTTTTATGTGTGCTTGTTTTATACTATTTAACAGCAGTTTCTTTATTGTGAGCATCAAGAAATCTTATTTTAATATAATGGAATGGGAGAAACGATTTGCATCACCTGCGTGCCTGGTTCCTTAGAGTGTGTAATCATGTGTAAAAGCTTTTTTTTTTTTTTTTTTCCGTGTGTATGGATACCACATCTTGAAGCAAAGTTGTAGTTTGTTCATGAGATAATGATTGATTGAAACCTTGCAATTCAAATTATTTGAATCAGTTGACCTTTCTAGAGCATTATGAAGATTACATGTAGTAGATGGTTGAATAACTTATTTTTTAATCAATATTTAAAACCATATGTTTCAAATCCATACACTACGGGTAGAATCTTATCTATATTGAAAATCCTGTGCTTCAAAATTCATTACCTACAAGAACTATCAGTGATTGTTAATAGGAAGGAGCCCATCCTTTTGAAAATCTCTACATAATCAAAATAACATGCACATCCTAATGTTGGTAGAAACTCAATATAATGAGTCCCAATCCCATCAACATATCGGAAACAGTAATTTCAAAGTAAAAGCCCCTTGGTGGACACTCGGTTGTCCTATGCAATTAGTATGCCACTATGCCCAATCCCATCACTGTATCCAGAAACTTATGTGATCACTCGAATGCAAATCCTTTAAAATATGACTGAAATAAGGTTTTGGTTTTTTAAGATGAAGAAGGATATCATTTATGCATGGCAGCTGGTCAAAATATACATTTTCCTTAGATCTTGCAAAAATTCCGGCATCTTGACCTTTTTGGTTTAGTCACTACTGAAACATAAGGCATTGTTTTCAATTTGTAAGGTGGTAGAGACGTCATGCTTCATCATTTCATTTTAGCTGGAGGCTTTGGTGCCTTTAAGTTTCTTAGTAAAATTTGTGGTAATGCAAGAAAATGGAGGACAGCTCCTTAAGAAGAAAGAGTAAGTTACCTTTTGTCAGTACTCAAATTTTTTTTTTTGGGTCATAAAAGGCAGTGGTTTAGGGTAACGTTTGGTTCTTTGAGCAGTACAAATGTAGGAAAAATAAGTGGGTGGAAAATGATAAATGATGAAAAGGGTAAGCTTACTGTCGTAGTGATACACAATAGCTTTAGTAAAATTGGAGAATACCTTCTATGGTTTGGTCTTATGGTGGCTAATGTTCTGTAGTGCTGTAGGTTTATGACTTAAAAAAAGGGGGAAGACAGATTGTAGGAGTTGTTGATGAAAGGGATGGAATTGGTTTGGTTTACAAGTGATAGACTGTAAGAATTTCAGAAAATAGGTTTCACTGAAAATTCTATACACCAACTAATTTTATAATTTGTGTTAAACTAAAGGCGAGAAGGTGAGGAAGAAAGGTAAGGGTTGATGTGGGCTTGGTCAGATAAATTAATGGGATGCAATTAAGTGCATATTAGGTTCATTCCTGAGTTGTTCCAGGCACTGTAAACACTAAACGCTGATCATTAACTTGATTTCATTATTATTATTATTAATTAAATTTATATGGGTTTGGGTTGCTGGTTTTAAGTGTTAGATAAAGGGAGAAATTGTTTGAACTTTCAGTAAAAAGAGTATTCTGTACCTGCTAAAAGCCGCATTTATAGATTCAGTAGCATACATTGACCTATTATACAGTCCATTAATTACCCTTATAATCTATGTCTAACAGATTCAAAAGTAAACTTACCTATAGGAGGATTATAAATTAAAACTCAAATCAATGATAAGGTCCCAAACTTTGTATAAAGTACTACTTACCCTTTTCTTGTTCACTTGCTTGGCGTCATGTATGTGCTGAGACAGCTCATCTGACCTGAACCAGAAGAGTTTTGTCTGTTAATTTTACGTTTTGTGGATGTCGCAACTAGAGAATGTATGCCTTGTCACAACCTAGATGCACCTTAGGGGCTGATCATCCTCTTTTTGTTTACTCTATTTCAATTCCTTCCTTAAAAGGAGAAGCTTTTAATCCTTTATGTAGCTTTTTAAAAGGGATACCCAATCAGAAAAGTAATTAAGGAGGGCATTAAGTTATCATAAAATGAAAAAAAAAAAAAAAAAAGAAAAAAAGAAAAAAAAGTTTAGGAGGCTATTTGAAAGGGAAGTTACTTTAGGAGCAAGATGTTACTCAAGGATTAAACTAGACGATTAATCTTGGTAACATGCCCTACCATTTTGGTCTCCTTTGGTTTCATAATGCATTCTTCTAGATTATTTTTTAAAGAAAGAAAATATGATATATTCTGGTGATAGCAATTATCTGGGATTTGATCCCATTAAAGATCTTTTTTATTTTATTTTATTCTATTTTATTTCTATATAAATTCCAGCCTGTTCTAAATTTGTCTTGGAGTACAATTAGGTGTTCTTCCAAGTCACCAATACGCTCTCATGTCATCCTTTTGTGTATATTTTGTAATGGTCCTCTTCTTATTTTGGACATGTGCAGAGAAGACCTTAGAGTGAGCACATTCCTGGGATGGTTGAATGATGCAAATAAAGAAAGGTGCCTCGAAAAGTATCTTGTTGTTCAATGAATTCAAGATTTATCCTTTTTTTCTATAAAGTATTAATTAAGTTCTGGAAATACTAATTGTTAGCCTAGGGAAGTTGTAAAATGTTATTAATGGTGTGTGGGTTTTCCAAAAGGCATTCCAGGAGAAATCAGGAGTCATTAGTAGTTATATTATATAAGGGGACAACTCTCTCTCTCTCTCTGTTGTAACAAATCTTAAATCAATATAATTTTGAGATATTTTCAGATTATTCACTTCTCTTAAGGCTTTTCCCAATTTTTTTTTAGAAATCTAGGCTCCAATGGTGATCCAATGGTGATTGGAGTAATTCTAGTTTTTCTTGCTATTGAATAAAAGACTTTTGTTTACTCTATTTGCTTCATTGAAGTAGCACCAATTGGAGATAAAAATGAGAGAAAATTGATTAAGATGGTTTGGATGTGTATAGAAAAACCTTTAAGTGTGCCACTTAGGAAGAGTGCATGGTCCACATTGAGGGTAATGTTAGGCGAAGGGGAATGCCAAAATTAACATGGGTAGAGTTAGTAAGGATATGATAAAATGTGGTTTGACTGAGGTTATGACCATAAATAGAGCAGAATGGCATGTAGCCGGCCCCAAGTAGTTGGGACAAGGCTTTGTTTGTTGTTGTCGACCTCTTGTTATTTTGCCTTCTTTCTGATGAACTAGTTGTGATTTGCACACACAATAGTTTTACTTTGAGTTCCTAGTGTAGGATTTTGGATTAATTTGTCAAAGCTCTTTAATTTGTTGAAAACATTTTGAAACAGTAGTTCCGAAGTGCATGTGATTGCAACCCATGCGATTGATTATAATTTGCATCTTGGAACAGGAGAGTTTAGAAAATTTATTATGTTAGTATGTATAAGGAATGCATTTATCATTGTAATGCATTCAAAACTAGATATGCATTTTTTTTTTCATTAAGATCACAGTTGTCATATTGTAGATTTTCCTCTGTTGTGTTTATTGCGATTTTTTATTTTTGAAATACATTACTTATAGTGCCTTTTTTCTTCCATATTTAAATTATTTATGATGTCAACGGTTGAATTTGGTGGACTATGGTTGAACTGCTCTGTGTAAACCTGTGTTTTTTATGTTGTAGACATTCTGGTTCTATTACCATGGTGAAACATATTGCTCAGTGGTAGCATTTGATTTTTCAGGACCAAATTCTAGAGCACACAGCTGTTTGCAGTCCTACCTTGTTGGAAATGCTTGAATCAGTCATGGGCTTTTCCTGATTCTTGGCTAGTTCAAGTGTTAACTCACATTACTACAAATAGTTTAATCTCGATCAGTATGGAGTTGGTTATAATATTACTTTTTGAGGAGCAATAACCCTTGGGGATGAAAGAAAAGGTAAAAGCAAAAGGAAAGAAAAGGTGATTGGCCAGTTTTGCAATACATTCTCTACCTTAGGACTGATTACCACCTATTTAGCATTTCCGGATCCGATTAATAAAAATGGCTGCGAATCAAGTCTCCATTGATGTTCATGATCACGGAATGACTCTTGATGGGCAAAAGGGAAGAGTTAGATGCAATTATTGTGGTAAAGTTATGAGTGGTTTCAACCGCCTTCGTTACCATTTAGGATGGGTAAAAGGAGATGTATCTCCTTGTGTGGAAGTTCGTGCAGATGTGAAGGAACTAATGAGAAACAAACTACTTGAATCAAAACGAGAAAACTTGAGCAAGGAAGTTGGGGAGTTCTGCCACCCAAATCTTCTTTTGAAGAGGAATTGGTCTCCTCACTCAAATGATGATGGTAATACGTTGGAAACCACTCAAACAGATGGGTGTGGGAGCAAAAAGCGGGCTAATGTGAACTGTACATCAAAAAACAGTGAGATGGAATCCGTTTCTTCTTCTAAGCGAAAAATAGGTTCCCTAAGAGCCACCAATGCAATAGAAGATCCGTTGTCACGGGAAGCTCAAAAATGCATTGGTAGATTCTTTTATGAATCTGGAATTAATTTTAGTGTTGCAAAATCTCTTAGCTTCCAGAAAATGATTAACGCCACCCTAGCTTGTGGTAAAGCTGGATGTAAGATCCCCACTCCTCAGGGGTTGAAAGGGTGGATCCTTCAGGAAGAAGTAAAAGAGATGCAACAGTATGTGAAGGAGATCAGGGATTCATGGAAAAGGACTGGGTGCAGTGTGATATTGGACGGATGGATCGATGGGAAGGGGCAAAACCTGATCAATGTTTTAGCAGATTGCCCACAAGGCCCTATTTATCTACGGTCATTTGATATTTCAGCCTATGTTGGAGATGTTGATGCCTTCCAGTTGTTTCTTGATGAAGTTATTGGGGAGATTGGGGTTGAGAATGTGGTACAAATCATTACATATTCTGTATCAGCCTGGATGGAGGCAGCAGGTAAGCAATTTATGGAAAAACACAGGGCAGTCTTTTGGACAGTGGGTGCATCACATTGCATAGCACTGATGTTAGAAAAAATTGGAGCCATGGATCTTATTAAAGGGGTATTGGAGGACGCCAAAATCATTACAAAATTCCTTTACGGTCATGCCGCAGTTTTAGAGCTTCTAAGATATCATACTCGTGGTTGTGACCTAGTTATGCCCTCCAAGATTAGGTCAGCGATGCCCTTCTTGACTCTAGAGAATATCATGGTAGAGAAGGCGAACCTTAAGAAAATGTGTGTTTCTTCTAAGTGGAATACGTCAATCTGGGCTTCTAGCATAGAGGGGAAAAGAGTAGCTAATTTAGTGGCAGGCAGCTCTTTCTGGTCTGGAGCCACTATGGTTTTGAAGGCAACGATCCCACTGGTGCGTGTTTTGGAATTAATCAATGAGGATGACAAGCCAAAACTTTGTTTAATATATGAAACAATGGATCAAGCTAAGGAAACAATTAAAGAGGGATTTAGGAACAAGGAAGCGAAGTACATGCCGTTCTGGGAAGTAATTGATGAGATTTGGAACCAGCATCTCCACAGTCCTCTTCATTGTGCTGGTTACTATTTGAACCCAGTTCTTACTTATTCAAGTGATTTCTCCGTTGATGTTGAGGTTTCCAGTGGCCTATTGTGCACCATTGTCCATATGGTGGAAGATAAACACGTTCAGGATCTGGTTATGCTACAAATTGATGAGTATCGAAAGGCTAAGGGTGCCTTTGGTGAAGGAAATGCCATTGATCAACGATTGAATGTTTCTCCAGGTTACAGAAATCTATCGTGTCCTCTTAATTGTTTACATCTTTATCTAGTTTGATTCATCTCTAAATTAAGACTTTGATTTTGTATCCTCTAAAATTTGTCTGCAGCCGAATGGTGGTCCAACTATGGAGGAGAATGTCCTGAACTGCAGAGAGTGGCCATTCGAGTGCAAAGCCAGACATGTGATGGTGCTTCAAAATATGGGCTCAAGAGGACGTTAGCCGAGAAGCTGCTCACAAATGGAAGGAATCGTATCGAGCAAGAACGATTGACTGATCTGATATTTGTTAATTATAATACGCAGTTGCGGAACTTCAAGTTGGGTCTTATTGATGGTATGGTGATTGAAGAAATTGACCCAATGGATGAGTGGATTGTGGATGAAGCAACAGGCATGGATGTGTATCGTGGAGATGCAACCACCACCAGTGGAGGGGCTATTAATGGAGCAGGGCCTTCTACTTTTCATATAAAACAGGAGCCAGGTGAGTAGATATTTTAAAAAGAAAGTGGAAAAATGAGAGGATGGCATCATATTGTGTTACACTCGCAAAGGTAATTTTACTTTTTGTTTCCTTGGAAATTCCTATTGCATTATTCAATTTTTTTTTTTTGGTAACTATACTTTTTGTTTAGTTGAATATTATATTCGACAACACCTGCAGAATTGGGTTGAGTAGCTTGTGTCTATCCAGAAGGATAGATCTTTTTGATATATTCCTTGGTATAAATCTTGAATTCTTACCTCCTCCAACAGAGGTTGCATATTATTTTGGGTCAAGCGTAGAAAGTACCCGTAAAGCATACTTATATTGCATATCACACTCTTCACATGCAAAAAAACACTCATAAAGTTTTAATTTGAGGGAAATAGATACTCTGACAAATTTAAACCCTAAGTTAACTAAATTATCTTTATTAAACCATTTTATAAAATATATAAAATAAATATTTTTGTAAAATGACTGAAAAGAACACTATTGGAGGATGACCCTCACGTGCAAAAAAATACCCATAAAGTTTCAATTTAGTGCAAATAGGTTCCTCTGACAAGTTTAAATCCTAAGTTAACTAAATTATCCTTACTGAATCATTTTATAAAATATATAAAAATAAATAATTTTATAAAATGATCGAAAATGGACTATTGGAGGACACCGAAAATGGACAAGTAAAGATAAAAATATAAAATAAAAATAAAAGTATAAAAGAAAAGTAAAAATAAAAAATAAAAAATAAAAAACGAAAATAAAGTGTAAATTAAAGAAAACAAATCTATTTCAAACTCTGAAAATCAGTGTACACTAATATTGGAAAAAAATTCTATTTTTTTTTTTTTTAACTGTGTTGGTGTGAAAAAAAATAAATAAAGAAAAAAAAAAAAAATTAGTTGATTGTATACTGAAATCTTAAAAAATTCAAATCCTTAGTTTGACAAATTTTCAAAGTTTTTTAAAAAAATGTTTAGAGATATATATAGAGAAAAAAGTTTATATATATATATATATATATATATATATATATATAGCAATGTACACATAACATCCCTATTCCATGAGATTAGTAGCATATATATCCCTTTGGGTATTTTCGGAAGAGTAAAAGGGGCAAGATGGGTATTACAGCACTAATTTATGTCAGCTGAGATATTTGCACAATGTGAAAATATTAAGAGTATTTTTTGCACATTTTTTTTAAATAAGGGATAAAAGTACTACGCGAATTATACTTTAGAAGTGTTTTTTGCACTTGTCCCTATTATTATTTTTGTATGAAACTATGAAAGTCACCAATTCACTATTGGGATTTAGACAACACTCATGGCTTCAAGATGAAGCACCACCCTACATAATACCTAAGTCAAGGCAATCTTTCTCAACATGTGTAGTTCTTACTCTTCAAGCGCGCACTTTTCATTCCATGTGACTTAAATTTTGTCGATTTTGTACTTCTTTTGTTGAATTCGCTCTTAGAATAATACTTCGAATAGATTAAGAGTGCCAGGGCAGTAGGATGGTGGAGGACAAATTTGTCATTTCAAGTTCCCCATGCTTTTCACACACTATATAATATTTGAGTGAATATTTTGGGAAATTTTCACTGCTTGACAAATGCTCCCAAGGCCAAGTCCACATCAAAGTTTTGAGAGAGAGAGAGAGAGAGAGAACAGGTAAATTCTGCAGATGCAGACGGCGGTTTGGTTAGTATTTTTATGTGTGTGTGTGTGAGAGAGAGAGAGAGAGAGGTGGAAAATTTTGCAGACGGCTGTTTTGTTGTCAGTATTTTTATTTAAATTATGTGTGTGTGAGAGAGAGAGAGAGTGTGTGAAAATTATGCAGATTCAAAAATAGTTGTTAGTATTTTTATTTTAAAGTATGGGAGTGGGAGCAGAAATGTGATAAAATAGAATGGGGTTGGAGTTTATGCGGGCGTCGTTTACGATAGTGGTTTTGCGACTAAGCATTAAAGTATCCTTTTTATCACTGCTAACTTCTCTGCATAAACCAACAATAAAGCACCAACTTCTTTATTTTATGTGTGTGTTTATGTATGTGTGTATAATATTTTGTGTCAGATAGGTAGTTTAATTTACAAAATTTGGTCAATCACATCAAGAACACATCTGTATTTGGGATTGAATAAGTCGTCTCTAAGATACGGGTCATTTTTTGTAATCTCTCTCTTGTCCTTAAGTACCTGAATTTAATAATGTAATTAAATAATTAATTATTATTATTATTATTTTTTCATCATGCCAAGTATAGAAATTTTCATTGCATAATTTTTTTTTTTTTTTTTTGAGAAAAAATCATATATATTTCCTCTTTTATTATTTGAACTGGGATCTATCTTCTAATATGACTATAATAATTTCTCTTACTTTCTCACATGAGTTAAAGCGTTTGATTATATTAACTTTTCACGAGGTTTGGATAAATTATATACAAGTAAAATGTTTGATTTTTATTATTTTTATCTTCCTGAGATTTGATGTGTGTGTTCAACATACCCTTACTGATAATAAAAAATTTTAAAATAATTAAGTTGTCATTTTCTTGTATTAAAAGACATCAATAAACCTTATATTTTGATATGAAATGACAAAAATATTATGAAATGTCATTAAAATATAAAGTATCAATTTTCATATTAATTTTATATTATTATATTTTACAAATACATTTCCTTGTGTTAAAAGACCTCAAAAAATAATATTTTCTCGGTAAAAGAATAATAATAAAGAAATCTAATAAACAATATTTCCATCCACTCCAATTTTTTTTCTTATAAAATTTGTTTTTGGGGACCAATAGTGAGAGCAACGTGTATTCAGGGGCGAAGCGGAGAGTCTTTTAAATATTGGGTCAATAGTAAAATTATTATACTGAGATCAATATTAAATTTCAAATAAGAAATATTTTGTTATAAGTTTGTCTCTGTCCTTTTTACAAATTTGAAAATTAGATAAAAGAATAAAATAAGGGAGCAATGTTTATCCTTGTATGGAACTCTCAAGACAAAATGATGTAAAATAGTCTCTGTTGGAAATTGCAATAGTGGTCAAACATCATTCCTCTATCACCTGCGTTGACTTTGTCGACTGATTGTAAGAAAGACACTATTTCGCTGACTAAAACAAAGAAAGGAGGTGCGATGGTGTTGTTCAAATTATAATTTTTCTTTTCAAATTAAAAAGGTATCGAAATTTGACTTAAGCATTGTGTCAATGTTCACTCTCACACTATTTATTGATTATTAACTTCTCCATAATATTTTGGAAGAATTAAAAATAAAAAATAAAAAAGTAAAAATATGAGTGAATATTAGTATAATTATTAGTGTTATCAAAGCCAATGAGCTAACTGGTGACTTTTTTTATTATTATAATTTTTGCTCTGGAAACAGGTATCCCTATATCATAAAGTATATGAGTGCATAGTACTAGTACAATTATTAGTCTTATCAAGTTGTTGATGGTGATTCTCTTTCTAGGCCGAAGGAGGAGATTTTGGTAAAATGGCGAAATTTAACACTGCCCCCTCTCTAGTAAGTGGTAAGCAATTATGAGGAATGGGGTAGATCCGTCCTTTTCTGCATATGGTCTTAATTATGGAGTACACATTGGAGTCATTTCTTCTATCTGCATTTTCCAGTGATACAGCAATAAAGTTGCTCCAACTGGAAAATCAAAAACCACATGCCTCTATAATACCAAGTAAAAGCGCTTTAATTTTCAAAAAAAAAAAAAAAAGGTAAATTCGCTTTAACAACTGTTTTTGTTTACCAAAATATCGAAATAGGGTTTGGTAATTTTTTTTTTGTCAGGTTTTGAATAGATGTCGTTTGTTGCAAGAGTCCAAACCGAAAATACCAAATTGATATTTCTCAAGACCTGTTTGACGATGGATTTGTCTCTTGTACGATGTGGGTATTTTATTATAAGGAAGCAAAACACTATTTGATAATTTTTGTTACAATTTGAGTAGTACCATGTTTATTGTCCGAAAAAAGGTCCAAATCCAAAACAATACCAAAAAAAACCCTCTGAATGAACTTTTTTTAACCGCCCATTTTTTGTTTTTCCAATTTTGCATAAATTTTTAACAAACATATTTTCATATTCATGCTTCCAAAAATCTTGCAGTAAATTTTTCGTTACCAAGCATATTTTCAAATTCTAATCACTAGTAAACACACTTCAGGAAAAAAAAAAAAAAAAAAAATATTGTTTCTAGTTTGAAACAAAAAAAAAAAAAAAAATAGGGGTTAAAGTCATAAAAGCTCCCTCAACTTTCAAAATCGTGTATAAAATTTCCAAACTCATAAAACTTATTAAGTTACCTCAAACTCCTCACTGACCTTACTGTTTAATATTAAATTAAAATTTATAATTATTATTTTAAAATTACAAAAATAATATTCTAGGCAATAAATGAATTGTTGGTCGTTACTAAAATAACAACTCATCTAACATTAAATAATATTATTATAAAAGGATATTTTTTAATTTTAAAATAATAATTATAATTTTTAATTTAATATTAAATAGGAATGTCAAAATTTAAGGTAACTTAATAAATTTTATTAATTCAGGAAACTTATAAATTAATTTTATGCACGATTTAAAAAATTGAAGGAGTTTTAAGATTTTAATCTAAAAATACAGACTCAAAGTTGTCAAACTGACCCTAAACGACCTTTTTGGTTTTTTCTTTTTCCTTTCTATTTTTGTTGATGATTAAACGTTACAACCCCACAAGAAATGCTTTGTATAGACCGCATAGCTGATGATAGCACACCCCCCTCTCCCTTTCACACCTTTTTTTATTCCTCTTTCTTGTTTACTTCCCCCCACCACATCTCTCTCTCTCTCTAGTGTGGAACAAGTAAAAAACCACCTTGTTTGAATTTCCGACAATTTGTTTTTTTTCAAAAACCACTCTCTAATCAAACCCGGTTCGGTTTTTGGTTTGGAATCATCTTTGGTCCTTCCTTCAAACCCAGGTAAAAATGGGGTGGGTAATTCAAACTTTGAATCTCTGCAAATTCCTTTCTTTCTTTGTACTGTATTGGATTTGGAGGTGCAAAAATTGCAAAGGTTAGATAAACTTTGTTGTTAATGGTATGTATTATGGGTGTTGGTGGGGTCATTTCTCTCTCTAAAAACCTTTTCTTTACAATCCTTAATTTGGAGGTCCCATCCCTTTTTAGAAGCAATCATTTCTTAATGACCTTCCCAATTTACCGCTTTCCTTGAACTCTGTAGTAGAAACGTAAGTTCTTTCTTTTCTGTCTGTGGTTTGTACATTCAGTTTACTTGGATGCATCCTCAATCATGTCCTCTTTTTCTCCTACCTTTTCCTTTTCTCAATTTCTGTTCAAACCCATATTTAAAAAGTAAGTTTTTTTATTTTTTATTTTTTATTTTTTATTTTTTATTTTTTGACCTTTTTTCTTTATATATATATATATATATAGTTACAGATTGGCTCAAAAGGGCTTTCTTTCTGAATGTTTGCTGAAAATGACTGGTATCTGTTCATTCATGACTTTGTTTGGTTTTTTTTTTTTTCTTTATATATATATATATATATATATATATATGTGTGTGTGTGTGTTAATAAATAGTTTACAAATTGGCTCAAAGGGGCTTGACTGGTATCTGTTCATTCATAACATTTTCTTTTTCTTTTTCTTTTCTTTCTATATATATATATATATATTTAACAGATAGTTACAAATTGGCTGAAAGGTCTTTCTTTCCGAATATTTGATGAAAATGACTGGTATCTGTTCATTAATAACTTTTTCTTTTTATTTTTCTTTTCTTTCTATATTTCTAATATATATATATATATATATATATATATATATATGTAATAGATACAAATTGGCTGAAATGTCTTTCTTTCTGAATGTTTGATGAAAATGACTGGTACCTGTTCATTCATAAATTTGTCCTTATCTATACACATGTGTAACAGTGCCTCATTCTAGTTCCACATCTCATTTATATCTTCTCTTCCAATTATTTTGTCTCAGGTTTTCAAATTGAATCTGCAGCTTGATACCATTTTGATTTCATTGTGTTTTTTGTTTCTTGGATTTTTTCTTCCCCTCCAAACACAAACTGCAATTTTTATGTTGATTAGAAGTTGTTTATGAGGACACTGAGACTGGGGCAATCAACGCTGCTTGTACAAGATTCTGCATGTGTGCTTTTGTAAGCATCAAAAGCCCATGACTTTACAGCACTATGTGTGACTCAACAGTGCTGCATCCTCCTGCCTTAAGGTAGTGAGTGTTTTCCATTCTTGTCTCTGCTCTTTTTTACCTTCTCTTCTTTGTTTAATTATGTAAATTAGGACTTGTACAGTTGATTCCTTCCTAACCCTTTAATCTTTTGCCTTGTATTTTGTGCAGGAGTGATTCGCTTTACAAATGCTCACACTCTTCTACATGTTCTTGTTATTCAGAAAAGTACTTAGATAAACCATATGGAATTCTGAGTGAACCATCCTCCTCCTCAGAGGTTAGTAGCTGTGGGCATGCCTAATCTGTCGACACCCTTTTGAATAGCACACACACACACATATATATATATATATATATATATATATATAATTTGTGAGTAAGATGTGCAAAATTAGTTCTTGTGTTTTCTAAATATTTTCATGAATTTATCCCACTAAATTGCCCACACTGTATTATTTTTTCATCGACTTATCTTCTTCCTTGTGCTTGATATGTGAATTTTATGACTTAGTTCTAAAGTTCTATCATTCCATTTTGGGTATTAATCTTCTTAGCATTTTCTTTAATTTTATAACACCAGCGCACCTCCTTTCTCTTAGAGCACCGTAAGGGCATCCCCTCACTATACAAAGGGAATTCTACAAACAAGAGGACACCAATACACCAAATACAGCTTTGCAACTCCACTGTCAATTTCCTTCCTTTATCCTCCTGCTTCTCATTTGCTGATTAGTCCTCTCATCATATCAATTCTTATCACGGAATTTTCCACAAACTTAGAAATTCCAATGCACAGTCTTCAGTATCCCCAGAGCTGCCCAGAACCATATATAGTACAGTAGAACACCATCTCCTACATACGGCCTCTCATTCATATTCCAACCATTAAATCATATCCCAATCCATGAATTCCAATTATTGTTCATCAGTTAGAGAATGGATGTCAGATAAATTTACCCTTTGGAATCTAGAACTTCCCGGATCACTCCTCTAACTATTTGACAGGCTTCTATTCCTTCTCATTGATGTAAAAGATGATTACTGTTTCTCCACATGTTCCAAACTAGTAGAGTGAAACACACCCACTTTGCTCCCATGGGAACTTTAACCTTAGACTTCTATTTTGGAAGGTGAGGAAATACCACTAGGCTACAACCCTTGGTGGTAGGTTCTTATTATGTTTACCCTTAAGCATCATGTTAGATTCTGATCTGGCAGTCCATATTACATGGGTGAAGGCTTGTATTTCTTATTGTTTTAATTCGATCAGGGGTTTTGTTCCCTAATCAAAGGGTTTGAGCTTGTTTTGCTACAGAACATAGTCATTGTTATTCTCAATTGATCAGTTTCCGAATGATTATTTTAAACTGTTTATTTTACCATACTATAAAGTGTTCACACCCAAGCTTCTCTTTTTTAGGTTCTCATCAGATGTCATCTTTTAATTAAAGGTGAATATTTGATTTATTAATTTCAGGTTAGCAATAATATTGGAGCTTTAGGATTGTCCGATAAAAGCAATGGTGTATATATTGACAGATTCCAACTTCAACAGGATGTAAGCATCTCTCCTACTTGAAAGCTCCACTATGGCATAGTATTATGTCTATCATTTTTTGTTGTCTACTTTGCATCGTGAGTCAGAACTTTGATATACATTAAGACTTGTAAGAGTGATCCGTAACTTTCTTTCCTTTTAGATTTGAGATATATGGTTGTATGTTGCATTTCAAATTTCACCTTTAGAATCATTTAGGTTTGTTGGTGGTAGTTATAGTGGAATCCAAGTTACAGAGTCTTGGGCAAAAACTCTGGAGTTTTGCATATATTAAGAAAGCAAGATGTGCTAGTGGATCTTGCGAAACTGGATTCATAAAAAGAAAAATGCACACAGGTTTTAACTAACTTAATCCTTAACCCAAGGTATGTGCCCTGCTAATGTAATAGATTGTTTTTATATCCTCTGCTAATATAAGTTATGGAAGCTAAATACTTAATAAGGCAATTAGTTGAAGAGTGTAGGAGTAAGCAAAAAAACTCTATATCTTGTTTTTTTAGACCTAGAAAAAGCATATGGTAGTGTCCCAAGATATATGATTTGGTGGGTTTTATAAAGAAAACAAATTATTATACAAATGATAAAGATTGTTCAAGATATGTATACAAACACAAAAATGGTAAGTCATCCATGATTCTAGCCTATCATAATTCATATCTTGGTTAACGGTCTCTTTGCTTCTAAACGTTCTCCTAAGAACAAGACAACTTTCATTAGGATTCTTGTCACTTTTGATTTTATTGAAGAATGGTGGCTGGCAAAGATTAGGAAGCTGTTCAAGTGGTACTTGAAAAATGCTTAAGACTTCTAAAAAATTGTTGCTTCTGTTAAAGAGTTGAAAGGTACTCTGATTACTGGAGAAGGTGGGTTCGTGGTTGCGTAATAATTTCCCAACATTATTTCATGTGGCCTTCATGGTTTGAGGGTGAGGATTATACTTTTGACAATTATTCTTGTATGAAAATGCTTAGAATGATGAAGATGTCCAAAAGTATCCATTTAGAGAAGCCTCCAGAGATAGGATTTGGAATCTTTTGGTAGCTTTGTTTAAATAATACAGATGACATGGTTTCATACACGCGGGTATAATTGTTGTATTATTAGTGAACTTGTGTAGATAGCTTGGTTGTGAATCTACAATTTAAATACATCCTTACTTTGAAGGTGATAATTTAGCATAGAGGTAAGGTTGGCTTTGAATATCGAATTTTGCAAGTGTTGTTATCTAATGATCAGTATTGAGAAAGGTGTAGGATTACTTTCCCTAAGGTGGAAGCTTATGGTTTGTTTGTGCATATTATTGGAAGTTTTATTATTTATTCATTTGTAAGAGTTGGATGGCTTTTTGGTCAAGGATATTAGCTTTAGTTAACTTTTAGACGCGTCTTACTTTAACAAAGAAAGCTTTTTGACATTACATATTTACTGATTGCCACCTAATGGAAGTCCTTTGCTGTAGGTAGAAAGATTAGAGCAGCAGCTGCAAGAAGAAATAGAAATGCATGCCATTCTGGAAAATGCCATAGAGAAAAATGCTTTGGAATTATCGAGCTCATCATTCTTGCCTTATCATGTAAGTTTTTTTTTTTTTGTTTAACTCTTGGAATTAATTACTAGATATGCTTATATATGAATGAGCACTGCAGTTTATCATTATTAAAACCCATTTCATCATTCCTCAGTAGTCACTAAATCAGTTTAATTCAGATTACTAGAAATAATGAGTATATTTTTGGTCTTCTTTTTAATTCCTGGTTAATTTGGCTTTCCATCTTGTGGGTACATGGGTCTCCACGTTACTTGTGTCACCTTTGATAAAAAGGGTCCACCTAGAATGTGTAACCTACACGGCATCCTACGTGGCACTATGCTCAATCCTCAAACTGGGCACAGCACCTTGAGTTTGATTGACAGTACAGGGATTATGTGGAAGGTTACTTTAGTCCCCCTCTAAAACCTCGATTAATGAGACCCCATATTTTGACTTTGTTGTTGACACTATATACTTAATGGCCACAGTGACTGAAACATCCCATGGCAACCTTGGGAAACTCTCTTGTATAGGCATCTTTGATTTCAGCCAAAATGACTAATGGGTACAAATTCGCTCCTAGTGGTGAAATGGGTGTCTGATCAGAAGCAGAATGCACCATTACAATGGGTAGATGATTTAATCAAGAAGTAATCGCTAGACAAGTGAACCAACTGGGTTGGCTAGTAGTTTAGTTGGTGTTGTAAGAGATGTGCTGACGACTCGTGGGGACTGTACTCGTCATGAATAGACCGTGGATGTCGATCTCTATTTGGTAAAGCCCCAAGGGATAATACAAGTGTTACACAAGATGTGATAAGCGACTCAGGGAAACTGGTTGAAGTCAAAGCAAGCTTGAATGAGAGTGAATTGGCAACTGAAGGCCTTCAAGGCTGTAAAAGCTGGCTTTATTTCACTTTCCATTATAATTGCACAAACTACTTGTTAATGTCCTTAAGAATTTATATTTACTTACATATGGGCCCTAGTTCCTTGAACTTTGTAAGGAAGCATTGCTTTGCTACTTTTGATGAACCTGCCCAACTCATGCTTCATGATTTTAAGGTGCACGTCCATGCTCAGAGCCCAGGCTCCAAAAGAGGGGGAAAACAAAAAACTAGAGCTGGATTTTGGTATTATCAAACATTCATTATAGAACCTATAACTCTTTCTATTTTTTTTTTTTCTTTCGAAGTTGGAATAAGTTGAAATTGTCAATTATGAATCAACTTTGTCCTTTCAGCAGGACTGTGCAATCCCTTCTCAATCATTATTAATTTTTTCACTCAATCTTTACCTTCTGTTTTCTTTTCTCTAGGATTGTCTGATAATGATTTCTTTTGATAATTGATTCAGTTGAAAAATATGTTAATTGGTTGTCATCATTGTACAGGCTCAGGATCTCTTGTCCAATATTGCACTATTGGAGTCTGCTGTCTCAGAACTTGAACATGAGTTGATCTCGTTGCATTTCCAGCTTAGTCAGGAAAGAAATGAACGGAGACTTTTAGAATATCGTTGGAGACATTCATCTTCCCAGTCGCTATTTATTTTCTCTGATATAATGAAAGCACCGGTATATATTCTTTTTTACTCACTCTAACCATCAGGATTATAACAAGCATCATTTTTGTATTCAACAAAGTTGATTTAACAAACACCAGTTTTTTCTTGACTGATGTGGCAATCTTATGCAGTGCCTGCAAAGAGACAATAGTAATTTGGTTATAATTATTAGTGTTGTTGTCATTATTATTATTATGATAAGTGTGTCATGCATTCATTTTCTATGTATTGGTTCTTCTTCTTCCTCCTCCTCAAATAAAGGCATGTTCTCCATTTTCCCTTCACGGAACTCTCTAATTTTAAGATAATTCCTGAGCTTTAGTGTCTTGGTTTTAGATTTTGCTGATGCCATTAACGTTTTCTTATTTTAAAGGGAAACCAAACTCAATAATTTCATGAATTTTTTTTCGATTTTGTTGAAATACTTAGATGTGTATTTGCAGAGAAAGATATCATTTGGTGTTTGTTTTCTCTATGTATTAAGCGCGTCTTTAATATCATGCACAAAATAAAAATGAATGTCTGTGGTGGCCATTTTCTGCTTATATATATATATATATTTTTTTTCTCTTTCTTCTTGGTGTGAGAGTGGTGGGGGAAATATAGTAGAAATTGAATGTATATTCAAGTTCCACTAAAGATGAATAATGAGAATTATACATACTTAATTGTTATTTGTAGTAGAAATCTAATGTATATATTTAAGTGCCACTAAAGATGTATTATGAGGATTATACATGTCTTGAAATTGGGGAAAAGGCTTGGTTGATACAATGCTCATCCATCGTTTTGGATCTCCTTAAGGCTTGCATGAATACATGTTCTAATTATAACAGGACCTTTTAATGGGTACTGTCATTGTAGGAATTTAATATTGATAACTTGAATCAGAATGCAGTTGACGAAGTTGTGCTTCTCCATGAGAAAGAAGTGTCCATGAAAATGGATACCGAATGTTGTCATCCTGTAGATGTTCCGAAGCTTATTAAAGAGGTGCAACCTAATGGCCTCTGGTATCATCCTAATCAATTATCAGAAGAGATGGTTCGATGCATGAAAAAAATCTTCGTCTCTTTGGCAGATTCTGCTATGCCATCAAAGTCCTCTGCCCTGGGGAACCACTGCTCATCATTGTCTCCCAGAGGACATCTTTTGAATTTGTCGGTGTGGTCATCATCTGAACGCTCAGTAATTCCATCATGGGTGCAGAGTCCACAATTTGATTTACAGTGTAACCCTGAGGTGTTGGCAACAGAAAGTACTTGTGATCCCTATAGAGTGCGTGGTAAATTAAGTTGGGCAGATATCGGAAGCTATAGATTAGCAACTGAGGTTTCTTGGATGTCAGTTGGAAAGAATCAACTAGAATATGCTGCAGGGGCATTACGTAGGTTCAGGTAAGAATTCATTCAGCCGCTACTTTTTGATGTTTCTTGTGCATTTGTTGGTCAAAGAAAATGGCCAAGATGTTTTCTAAATTTTCAGAAAGTTGCTGTTAGAATTACATCTCAATAATAGCATAAACAACTCTGATACAGAAAGATTTTTGTACAACAATCGCCGTAGGCAGTTTTCTTCACTGAAATCCACGCACTTAACGTTTATTATTTTCTCACTTTTATGTTTGTTCTTCTCAACATTTTTTTGATAGGTAAGCAATTTTTTAAAATTGCGCCACCAAGCTGCTCTCGTTTCCTCTTTATTTTATAAGTACTTGTTTAAATGTCCATTTTTGTCTTGCTCAGGTAGTGGTTCTTAATTTTGAACCAATGGGAACCCATGCAAGTTCCCCATTGAACTCATATGAGTTTCGATATATGAGGCTGAATATAGTAATTTTCATATGATTCAAGTGCTTGGAGATTCTTCAGAAATTACGCTGTTACATCCCTTCATACTGCTATTTAAAGTTAACCAAAGGATGTTGACCGGGAGTAAATTTTCTGTAAATGTAAAAGTGGCAATTGTTTTTTTGAGTGTTGGGGTTTTCCTTGACCGTTCTTTTTTGTTCTGAAGGTGGGAAAAGGGAAAGGGAAATGTGTCTATTGTGTCAAAATTTACCATATGTTTGTTTATTTTACTTTCTAATTTTCTTATGAGAGGACAAGCTGTTAAGCGGAACTAGTGCTGATTGAATGCTGTTTTGGTGTTACCATGTGGAGAACAGAACACTTGTTGATCAGCTGGCCAAAGTACATCCTATCCACTTGAACTGCAATGAGAAGTTGGCTTTCTGGATCAATGTGTATAATGCCCTGATAATGCATGTGAGTTTCTCAATTTCTAGTTTTTAGATTTTATTTTGGTGAGATTAAACTTTTCAATAGTGTAGCTTGGATCAACTTCCGTAGTTCTTTGATCAATTATAGAGGGCAGCCCTGTTGGCACTCTACTTGTGGTTTCCATAAATCCATTTTAAAATTTATTCACTAGTATTGCAAAGTATAAAGGTGAAAGTGAAGTGCCAGTAATGCTTTTTAAGTACAACACATGTAAAAGGTGGAGTTTTATAAAGGGTAGCCCAATTGGCACTTCACATTTATCTTCTTGAACTCTGCTTTTGAGTCATTCACCCATGGTTTGGAGTGAAACAAGTTAATTAGGTGTGTTTAAAAGGGATGACTTCTTTATTACACAATTGCATTAAGAGATGCATAGGGGAACATGAGAAAGTAGGAAATCTTTGTTGAAGATGTTGAAAAAAAGAGAGGGGATGACAATGACTCTATTCTTAGCAAACTAAAGCCTACCATTAAATTAAACTAGAAGCTTGTAATATTTGTGTTCCTGTAGAAGTAGGAATTGTTATAAAGCTGCACCTTGTAAATAAGTTGAAGTTGGAGAAGATGAGACATCAATAACTAATTGGAAGTCATTCTAGAATGATTATTCCAAACACAGCCTTAGGTGGACTACTAATAGCTTTGCCCTATTTAAAGTGCAAGTAGAAGGAGAATTAACAAACTTCATTTGGTTTTCTGGACTGTGAACAGGCTTATCTTGCATACGGAGTCCCAAGAAGTGACTTAAAGCTCTTTTCGTTGATGCAAAAGGTTTGATTTCTGGCATTCAGTGCTTCCTTCACTTTTTGCTTTGTAGTTTTACAAGGTAGTTCCAGATTATAAATTGCTCACTAGAGTAGTCTTGGAGGTGATGTTTGTCATGCCTTTTTTTAGTACCTTTTAAGGCCAAGATGAATGATGAAAGTATTGTTGCTGCCCCCTGCTTCTGGGCATCAGGTGCTTGAGTGGTCACCCTTGTAGGAGTATTGTTAGACTTTCTGCTACTCATGTGCTGATTTGTCTGCATTAATGTGAAGGAATTATAAAATCTTTCAGAAGCATTACACACTGGATTATTTGAGGGGTAGATTTATCATTGAGTCTTGATGACTAAAGAGTTTGATAAGATGCCATTGGGCATCAATACGAGGACCAGACCTTGGTTTGTTCATCAAAAAAGGTCATCAGGAGGTTATACGAGTCAAGTCTCTATCAGTTGGTAGAGTGGGGATGGATTTCGATGGATGTTCTCTTGGGAATCTAGTCCAAGTGGCAACTTATCACACCCCAAATTCGAATTGCGTGAAGCCGTGAACTGGGAAATCGTATTCCAATGCATTAACTAAGCAAGCATATCGTAAATCTAATTAACTCAACCCATGCCAATAACTCTATGGTTAGATACCCAAAACTATTACCAAATATCTCAACTTCAATGTATATTCCTTACCGGGAAAAAAGAAAAAGAACTTCAATGCATATTTACATCTGATTCCCATCAATCACTCAATGCAGATTACTCTTAATTCAAATCTCTATAGTAATCTAAGTCTTCACAGACAACTTTTACTAGCAATCAGTTACTTGAAATTATAAATAAAGCAGTGACCTCAAAGCTCAACAAGTTCATCACTCAAATAGTGTCACTCTCACATACTTCAATATACAACTGTATAAATATAAGTATCATGCCACCATGATCAATACTAATGTTAAGAATATATACAAAATAAACATAATGTCAGAGTCCGTTCTCTCTTCTTTTTCTTTTCTTTTTTTTTCCTATTTATAATCATGTTATTCTAATTGACTTCATTTCTTATTACGGTATTTTTCATTCATGGTTTCTGTTCAGCATATCTTAGATCTAGTGGCTCAATCTCGATGAAACACGGATAAGCTTATGTGAATTAAATCTTCAAATGGTTAGAGGCATTTTCAAAATGCAAGAGGAGTTTTCTTTTTCTTTTTTCTTTAAAGGAGTTGTTAATAATGCATAATATGGTTCAATTCTCATGTTCTAAATTTTCCTCCGAGACATTCTATATTAGAATCAATCATGCCAAAACAACATAGGGATACAAGTTAGCAATGTGATATCACCATTTCCTTAGGGCCTGTTTAGTAACAGGAATAATTTCTGATTTTTACTTTCAATTCCTAAAATTGAGAATCAAAAGTAAAGATCATGTTTAATAAAATACTTTTACTTTTTTACTTTAAGAAAGTACTTTCTAATTTTGTGAAGAGAAGAGAAAGTGAGAAATCCTTACTTTCTCAATTTTCTACACTGTTTACGAAAATTACTTCCTCTACTGTAGCACTGTTTATAATAAAAAAATAAAAAATTCTAACTATCTCTCACCACCATCTCCTCCACCCACCTCCTCCCCACCATTGTCATCGCCTCTGCCACCTCCTCCCACCATAGCCTCTACCACGACCATCTCTCTCCTCTCTCATACACATCAAAACCTATCAACAGTATACCCAAATTAACTTCAACCAGTCCCAAAAAAAAAAAAAAAAAAAAAAAAAAAAGAAAGAAAAGAAAAAACCATAACCGTCGACTTATCGGAAAACCCAGAACCTGGTAGAAGTGAAAGCGACGGCGTGGAGCCCTTTTGAGGCCCAGATACTCGACAATTTTGCGAAGAGTAAGAACCACAACCTAACCCATGTACAATGAGTATGTTATTGGATTTGATGGGTCCATCTTAAATGGCGAAGACTTCAATTGGGGGTGATTTGGGGGTGGTCTGGACCTTGATGGTTCGACCGGTGGAGTAGTGGTGGCGGAGAGTGGTGGGGAGAGTGAGGAACCAGGTTTTGGGGTCTTGTGGGGTGAGGTGAGAGAGAGAAACGAAGAGGAGGGTGATGAGAGAGGCTGAGATGGGGTTGGGGTGAGGTGGGTTTGTGGTGAGGCAGACCTGAAATTTTTTGGGGTGAGGTGAGAGAGAGAGACGAAGAGGAGGGTGATGAGAGAGACTGAGATGGGATTGGGGTGAGGTGGGTTTGTGGTGAGGCAGAACTGAAATTTTGTGGGGTGAGGTGGGAGAGAGAGACGAAGAGGAGGGTGATGAGAGAGACTGAGATGGGGTTGGGGGGAGGCAGATCTGAAATTTTGTTATCTTCGTCCCAATCTCTTGGTGGCTGGTGGCGGTCTATTCCCGGCATCAATTGCAGCAGTGATGATATATATATATATATATAACATTGATTGTCAAATATAAAGCAAAATCAAAATTATAATTATTAAACTTGCTTTCTAATTTCTTGCTTTGAAAATATTGAAAGCATAAAAAATTAGTAAACATAATTTTACTTTATATTTCAGCTTTAGAAATGAAAATTATGATTTTACTTTTGAAGAAAGCAAAAGTAAGAAAGTGAAAGCGTTTGTAAACGGGCCTAACATTTTACTTTAATTTTTTTTTAAAAAAAATTACATTTAGGCAATAAGATGTGGAGTTAAATTGGATTCTTGTTTTCTCCTGGGAAAAATAAAGAGAAAAAAAAAAAAAATCCATTTTTCTAAACAGAAAAGGAAGAAGTATAGGTTACTGTGTGCCACTGAACTAATGACTATTCATGTTTCAGTGATTGAAACATTTCGAACTTAAAGAATTGTATGGTAAAGCTTCATTTGGAGTGATGAAATAGAAAACAAATGGTAAATCTTTGTTTGGAATGATGTGATAGAAAGCGACTTGCAATGGAACTTTTTGTAGGGGACTTGAGCCGACTATTCTATTTCTAAGGTCCAATTAAAAAATTAAATTAAATTAAATTAGAGATTTCTCTTAATGTTCACGACAACCAACAATTCTATATGATGACTTTTTTTTAACGGGTTCAGATCAAATAACAATGATCGGTTAATTAGAAACACTATCTAATAATATTTAATTTATTTTTATGTTATTTCTACATATAAGAAAAGTATTGGAAGCAAATAGGAAAAATTTGGTGTTCGGGAAGTGTGCCATGTTCTACGCTATCTGAAAATACAAATCTTGAGGTTATTATTGTTTATATGTAGGTAAACATCAAATTAAAATGATGTTATCAATGTTTTTTTACTCCATTATCTATTTTTGTGGTGTTTATTGTTTCCAGGCTGCGTATACTGTTGGGGGGCATTCTTTTAGTGCAGCTGTTATTGAGTATGTAATATTGAAGATGAAACCACCAGTGCATAGACCACAAATTGTATGAACCTGGTTTCTGACTTGTTAAATTATGATAACTCTCTTATTTATCTATTTCTCATCATTTTCTTCTACTCGATCTGCTAATTAAGATTGCCGTATGATATTAGGCTTTGATACTTGCCCTGCACAAGCTGAAAGTATCGGAGGAGCAAAGAAATTATTCGGTTGATAAATTTGAACCACTTGTAGCTTTTGCTCTCAGCTGCGGAATGTACTCGTCACCCGCGGTAAATTTGAGCACCTTTTGATTTTATATTTAAGGATTTTTTTCTAAGACAATTTGCAGATAAAAAATTTCTTCTCTCATGGATGCAACTGATTTATGACACGGCAATTGCAGATAAGGATTTACACAGCTGAGAATGTGAGGGAAGAGCTGCAAGAAGCTCAGGAAGACTTCATTCGAGCTTCAGTAGGGGTGAGCAGCAAAGGAAAGCTATTGGTGCCCAAAATGCTACACTGCTATGCTAAAGGCTTTGTGGATGATGCCAAACTGGCTGTATGGATATCACAATACCTTCCACCCCATCAGGCTGCCTTTGTTGAACAATGCATGTCGAAGAGGCGGCAAAGCCTCCTTGGTTCTTGCAATTGTGGTATTCTTCCCTTCGACTCCCGCTTCCGTTACCTTTTCCTGCCTGAGAAAATTTCACAATGACAGTTGGATGTTGACGGCTTGAGACGCCACCATTACGACCTAAATATCTGAGAAAATTTCAGATTATAGGCTGCATGTTTCAAGTGAACCATGTTTTAGCTCAAACATGATTAGGATGATCTTTTGCCTTGTAGACCAGTTATATTCTTGTTGAATGCTGTATATTAGATTTACAGGCACAAAGGAATGCAAACAAAATGGTTACTGATGATGAACATACATTATGCATCAGCCTTATTGCTTAGGTGGCTTGTCTTTTCATGAAGATTTAACCAATATTTTAGAAACTGTCCTGAGAACTTCTTCTTCTATGAGAAAAACTCAAATAGAATTTGTTAATAACAAAGACATAATTTCTATTTTAAAGGTGTACAGATATAACAAAATATCTGCTATTTGCTGATGATATTTGCTTGATTAATGGAGCTAAAGTGCAAGTCAACTTCAACTAGAATCAAAAGGGTGTCAACAGGGATTTAAAATAAATAACCAGCGGAGGTAAAAGGATAATTTGATGAAAGATAATTCACCCATTTGCAACGAACATAAAAATCTTATCGTATATCCATTATTGTTTGAAATAATGGATGAAGCCTCTAATTCATCTTTAAATCTAGTATTAGGCCATATCTTCCTAATTTTTCAAAATAAACGGTTAATGGTGTCGAGGGACAAAATGGATGGATGTGCTAATTGCCAAAAAAAAAAAAAAAAAAATAAAATAACCTAATTTTAAGTTGCCTAACCATAAATACATGCTAAACATAATGTCCGGCCTACTAGCCGTTAAATATAGAAGGCTTCCAATCATCCCTCTCAGCATTCACTTGCTCCTGTAGGATCTCAGATGATTGTCCCAGCATAGGGCAAGCGTCAGCAAAATGGTTAGAATTAACACAGATGTAACAAACTTCCTTTGGCAAGGCAGTTTGTGGATTAGCAGCAGGAGCAAAGCCAGATGATAAGATTTGATTGAACCTACGGTTCAAGGCTTCTATTTAAGCCACGATAACCACATTCTTAGGCTTTTTGGTGTTGGGATGTGAATGTGATGCTATCTGATATGAGATAAATTATTTCCGCATCTACCAATTTCACAACTTTCTTCAAAACTACCTCCTTCATATTAGGATTCAATCTTCATAGGAATTCCCAAGATGTTCGAGAATCTTCCTCCAAATGAATCTGATGCATGCAAATTGTGGGACTAATTCCTTTCAAATCAGCCACACTCCACGCAATAGCTCTTTATTTTGTTTGATGGTAAAGTTTCTAAAGAAAAGTGTAATACTAAAGAAAGTGATATTAAAATTAATAAGTTGAGATGAGAAATATGTGCTAAAAAATTCCGGTTATATAAAAAATGTGCAAAAAATACTCTAATTTTAAAAAGTGTGCATATAAATCTCTGTATTTTGAAATTTTGTAAGAAATTGACCCTTGGTCAACAATTTTGACCATTTTTTTTTTTTTTTAAATCCCAAAATACCCTTAAGGGAATTTTAGACTTTTTTTTTTAATAAATAAAAATAATAAAATTTTGAGGGGTTTTATAAAAATTTTAAAAAATGCCCTTGTTTATTTATTTATTTATTTTTTCTTTTTATTTTAAGTTCGCCTTATAAAAAAAGACATTTTAAGTATTTCAGTCTTCAAATTAAAATATTGTCCTCACTTGTTCAATTTGAAAAATATAAAAAGGTTTATTGCAATTTTTTTGGTACTTGACCCACTAAAAAAAGAGCTAAAATGATGACAAAATTCAAACAGTTGAACCTTGAAAATTCGAAAAACTAATACTCCCTCTGAATGTTTGACTCAGCTAAATGTTTGACTAGCTGCAACATAATGTTCGCAGCAAAGAAGAAGGGAGGGGTTCAAACCCGGACTTGAGCAAAAGTGTGTACGTACTTCGCAGAAATGCTAATTATTTATTCCATCTTTAAATAATCTACAAAATGGCCAATATTTAAGGAGGAAAAACAATAAAAGAAATGGAACTTGAAAAACTGACCTATTTAATTTCATCGAAAAGAAAACATTTTACAGACAGACTGGGACACTATAGTACACTCAGCCACCCCAAACAGCACTGAATGAAGAAAATAAAATCAAAAGAATCACCCAATTGGGCAACAGAAAAAACACCAGTGCCCCTTCTCTCCCAAGGACGTAGGGGTTGCTGAATATAAGGGCATCTCTGATCTTGTCTTCCTTGAGGAGAACTTTTGCGAACGAAAAAAAAAAAAAAAATGAAAGAATTGTAATCTGCCGTTGATTCTTAACCAACATGCTGCAATTTCCTTCGCTACCCCTCAAACATTCTGACAGGACTTGTGCTCTAGCTGCCTGGTTCGCCTCTGTTACCAGTCATTAGAAACTATAATCTCTCCCTCTGTCAATATCATGTCTCTCCAAAACGTCCATAACCAATATATACAATTTGTTTATCCAGAACTGCCAGCAACCTCGGCAGCTCGCTGCCTCATCATCTCCATCACCGCCGCCCTTCGCCGGGAATCAGCTTGCTGTTGCAGCCTCCTCAAATGTTCTTTCAGATCTCTGAGAAATATCATTTATACTAATTTATGAGACAATCCTGATGATGGGAAGTCGCACAAACAACGAAAAGTTATATCGATGAAGCAAGATAAGTTTTGTACAAACAAACCTGCAACGTGGTACATTGCATTCAGATTCTTTGCAAGCTCGAGCATGAAGCTGAAGGATATACCACATCTTCTTACAAAGAACACAACCTCCAGAAGCACGTGTTTTGCAATGAATCCCATGTCGAAAAAGCCCCTTCACCTTACGACAATTTGGATATTGGCAATTCGGAGAACGACATTGAGATGCATGCACCAAAAGATCAAGCATTTTCCTAAGCTGTAACATCAAATAACCAAATTGTGTGAGGCTTGAGCAATATACCATTATTTCCTTTTATAAATATTTCCATATGCAACTTTCATAATTTTTTTAATAATATAATTAAAGGATTTGAGAGAGGACAATCACAGGAGATACTGACGAGAGAATTGTGAGAACAACAATCAGAAGAAAATATATCCACATTATGTTATGCGAAACTATTCATAAGTTTGCCATCCTTCTCAGGTCATGAAAGTCTACCAGAAAAAAGCAAAACCAAATTTAACTCCAAAATTATCTTTCAAGCACTGTGACGTACAATTCCAGTTTCCTACCCTCCCTCTCTCTCTCCCCCTACCTCTTCACGAGGAAAAAGCATTTCGTCAAGTAAATAGAAAAACTTCACTGGAAGCATATGACATTTTCAACTTCACTTTTGAGTTATCTAATTTGTAAATGCAATGTGTCCCAGCCTATACATCATCTATTTTCTAGACATCTTGGGTCCGGTCCTTCGCTGTTTTGTGCCTGTCTAATCCACCCTTCGGGCATATTTGGAAGCTGTAATTTGTCCCCGTTGTCTATTTCTGTATTTTGGTCGTCTTTTTTGTACCTAAGACGGTCATTCCCCTATCCAGGGGCCAAGTGTTGAGCATCAATATGAAACAACTATTCCCTTTTGGTCAATAAAATTTTTACTTGCCAACAAAAAAAAAAATACAGCAGGATTACAAATTCCACGATTTGCAGAAAGGACCTTGAATTTTATTAAGAACTTTATGCTGAAAAGATGCAAGATAGGAAATGTCGAGAGGGGGAAAAAACCAATAGTACTATCAAGTGACAAAAAAATGACAGAAGACATAAGTGAAGATTACAAAGGCTATGGAATAACAAATAAGAGAGACCAACATACCTGCAAAACTCTCATTTGCCTAGCTTCTTTATTCTGTGCATCACGATCAGCTATGGATGGATGGTTAGTCAAATTATGAGGATGATCAACTCCCCCATCCTTTTGATAACAACCATTACATACATCATAATCAGGGCAAATCTCACAGCGCCAACCTTGACCAGTTTCAATATCAAGATGACAAACATTACATGTAGTCACAAATGCAGGAGCAGTGGGATTGTGAAGATGGTAAAGAACCATCATTGAGGAATGTTTAGCTCGGCGTAGAGTATCATATTGGTAATGGTTACCCTGACAGAGACTCAGAAATGCCTGTCTAGTATCAAAGAATTCACTCTCAAGAATCTCATCTGTGTCCTTGGTATCTACAGATACGTCATTGATTTCAAGCTGCAGAATTAATTTATCTCACTTCTTAATCAGGAGAATAAAGTGGTCCACTAAAGTAAATAAATTAAGCTTCATGTATGACTAAAAGCAATCATTAAGTGGAGAAATAAGAAAACTCATGGACAAAAAACCTTACTGGATATAGTATGTGCTTGTCCCTTTGATTGATAGGATGTCTCTCTCTCTCTTCAATTTTTTGTTCTGTTTCATAACACCTGTAAGGGTATAAGCATAAATACCAAAATACACATAGGAGTCATTAAGCAAACCAATATAGAAAAAACAAGATAGCATCTTTCAAGAGCCATACACTGATGATCCAGAATAAACACTCTGATAATTTAACCACTGAATTTTTAAAAATGTAACAAAGACCACCAAAACTAGGATGACTGAAAGTATTCGATTAAGATCCCACATGAAAAACTAGGATGACTGAAAGTATTCGATTAAGATCCCACATGAAAATTGTAACATATGTTGACAAACAATTAACTTCCACTGATATCAACCAATCGCAACTGAGAGAAACTAGTACTGGCCTGAAATGTACTTCTTGCATTTAAGGCAACATATCGGTGTTCACATTTGTATCTCAATCAATTAAATTACATTTCGTCCCATTTGAATTCATGCAATTTGTAAGTCTGGTTAGTTTTAAATTATCAAAAAAGAAAAGAAAAAAAAAAAAACATATTCTTTGTTTATTCATTTATTTCTTAATTCTGCCAAACATCTTATTGTTTATTGATGTATCATTACAGAATTTAACAGATTTAAATATTTTTCATTCATATCGACATCAACATCAACTCATTTACTGAAATTTACATAACTTTGCCTCAAATTTCTTCATCAACAACATTTATCTTTCTAATACTTCAGACAAAGGCTCATTGGTTTTATGGTACAAACTAGCTAGCAGTTAGAAAACATAATATATCTGAATGAACTCCTGCCAAAGAACTTAACATAGCAGCACAAAGAAGGACAAGCCTGCAAAGTAGAAATATTGGTAAAGATTGTAGAGTTCTTACTTGTCACAAAGCTGAAAATTTTTGCACTGGTTACAAACCCAACGTTTTCCAGAAACCATTAGAATACAGCAATGAGTGCATGCATGCTGCAAGTGAACCATGATAAAATCTTCCTTCATTGGGGAAATTGTTTCACCGAGCTGGAGAAGACGGATAGCATGTAAGGACAAAAGAATAACATCACCAACCAATTTTTTCTTTTTTTCTATTTTCCTTAAGTAAGACACACATCTACATCCCAAACAGGACTGGAATCCTGCACCTATTCCTTAAGGATGATAGGAAGGACCACTCAATCAAACAGCTAATGGTAACAACACCTCCAAACATACAACTGTCCAATGTCATATAATAAACAAAAGATCAGGAAAAATAAAATACTCAGACAACATGTATAAGATTCTACAATCCGTTTATTAAGTAACAACATATCAACTATCTTACTGAGAGTAAGACATCATCACACACCAAGAATGATGATATTGTCTTATTATGATGACGTGGTGATGATAACCTATGTTAACAGACTTGGGTTCATCGACTGAATGCAGGTGTGTCGAAGCATCAGGTTTATTAAATACTCAAGGATATGGAGAGAAGCTGAATTTCATATTATTCCATATTCTTCTTTTATTTTCTATAGCAAAATGATGGTATTTGTAATATACACTTCAACAAATTAGAAGTAATAATGTAACAAAAAGAATAATATAAAATAATTCCACGTACAATTATATAACAAAGTTGAATTACTGCATATGTTTGTTAGGTACATGTCCAACCATAAGTGTTGGACGCATTTCCCGAATCAATGGTCGAGTGTCATGTGTCTGTCACAGGTGCTGCACATTTTTTAGGAATCTAACATATGATGACGAAGATGATGACAGCTACATTGCATCACCATTCTTGTCAAGAGATTTTTAAGCTGACAATAAATTGATGACTTGGAGAAAATGATAAAAATATATATTCAGGATAGAGTTTAATAGAGATATTAAATGTTAGAATTACTTTGTGCATTAGCAGCAGATCTTTTGATGCATTTCCAGAAAGATCAGATTGACCAGATGCTTTTAAAGCCCTTTTTGTTATGGTCTTCTTGAATGTTCCTTTCTTATGCTGTTTTCTGCCATCTTCTTCTTGACGAAGCTGATAAATTATATCCTCCGCAGCACCAGGCCAGTAGTCTCCATCAAAATATGGCAGCCGAGCTGCAGTTACCTTAGCCTTACACTCACCACTAGATACAAAGAAATGGTCGTATAAATTAGTGAGGTCAACTACTATATTTTCCTTTGCAGCTTTTCTTAACATTGATAGATACCTGAAACAGAAAAAAAATTAATGTCAAAGAGAATCATAAACAAGGATAAGATAAATTCCGGAAAAAAGGAGGATAAGATCAAGATTTATAATGAAATAATTATATACGTAAAGTTCACTAATCTCACCACTCCCTGAGTTTATCAGACTTGGGTGTTTTCTGAATTTCTGGATGGCAATATAAAATATAATCTTCACCCTTCAGTGGAGGGCAAGCCCATATATAGCAACTTGTGAAACCGCGTTTCTTGCAATATTCTAGGTATCCAATCTGGAAAAAGAATCAATATAAATTAAGAAGGTTATTCAAATACTCGTAATAACAATGATTAATTATTATTATATTGTATTAATGTATTAGATGAATTATTTAGCTAGAATATATAATGAGAACAACTGATATTAGGAAATTACCAAAATTTCATGGTAAACAAATGTACGGAGAGCTTCTCCGGTCACAGCTTTGATCTCAGGCCTGAAATACTTAACAGAATCCAGATATGAGAGATAAACACGGCGGTGATTTGGCTGTTCACATTCTGATCCGAATTCTTGAACATACATGCCAAATAGGCATACTTCTACACCTTCAATTTTCTGAAACAACAATACTACCTGGAAGAAGCAAATTTTTAGCTCTTACCTTGAAGTGGTCACTGGTGATATAGACTCTAGTACAGCAAAAAAATTTCTCTTTTTTTTCACTTTTTTTTCTTTTTCTTTTTCTTTTTTCCTTCTTGTTTAGTGGGAACATATTAAACACATGATATCATTGTACATCTGGCCTACCTTGGATTTATATGAAAATTCTGTTGGGTAATTATCTTCTTGAAAAATTTCAAGAAATCGCTGCTTCACTTCCAACTTTTTGTCAACTGACGATACAACTCTAACTACAAGCGCTTCTGCTCCAGGAACCTGGCAATATCAACAATGATAAGCACTTGGTGTGGACTGGCAGTCTGAATTGCACAGTATAGAACAAATAACATAGATAAATGACCAAGACAGAAAAAGTCAACCTGCACATTACGTGCAATAATTTAAAAGTTAAGAGGATCGGTAATAAGCAATAAAAAACAAGTACACATAAATTACTGGAGAAAACAATCACTTGTGGGTGTATCATGTCAGAGAAAACAAACATTAAAGAGCCAAAATTCAAGCTCATGGACACACTCAATTTTGTTTAGGGACTATACTGAAAGTGTTGAAATTGTAAAATCGCCAAACTGAATTTCTCAATAATGAATTCTAAAGTATAACTAAAGCTAGCATTACATATGCTACAAAGTAACTCCATCAGCTACATCGCAACTGACGAAAGGTTAGTATTTGGAATCCCATGGCAACAAATTCACACTGAGTATGCCTATTAGACTATATTTCTTCAGTAGGAAATCAAGTTGCTAAGCTTAAAAATTCAGGCTATTTACTTGCACAACGGTATTTTGACTTTAAAATTTTGGTAGAAAAATACTTCGATCCCTATCAGAACTGTCAATCAACCATTTGCATTTATGGGGAAAAAATCATTCAACTCTGGTGAATTTCTTGAGCATCTTATAAGGGGTTCCCTCATTCAATTGTTGAAATAAAGGAAAGCAGCATTCACATGCACATTCTTCAGAAAACAAATTTCATGTTTGTAGCATATTTCACTGCAAAAATTCAATTATCATCCGGTATAGCAAGTAGCAAGACACGGAAGCCAAATGAATCACCTCATCAAAACTTTTCCCTTGAAGCCTTGCCCTCTCGTGTCTTTCCTGTTTCAGACGCCTAAATAATCGCTGCTCTATGTGGTCACTGAGGATTGTTCTAGGCAGATCTTTCGCTCCAAGAACAGCACTCTGTGGTAAGGGCGTACGCTCTCCTCTTTCAACCTCTACCATATAACAGTTAGGACAAGTATATTCAGCTTGCCCACCATCATTCCTACGACCATTGAACAATGTACAGATTTGATGTTGCCAAGCTTCGCACTTATCACATTGAACCCACTGCATAAAGCATAAAGCATCAAAGCTTGGATACATCAAGGCATTTGTAAACACCATCATAAATTATAAATTATAAAAAAATAAAAATAAATAAATAATAAATAAAAAAAGGATGCAACATACCCATTCTTCTGTCTCCTCATCATTTTTCTTTTTCTCCAGTCTTGCCTTTGAAATAAGGCTCCCATCAGCTGTAATGGTGTCTCCACGGGATTCATTATAGCAAGGGATGCAGAAATAGTGCCGTGTATCACCAGCTCCTATAGTGTAATACATTGCGTTTCTTTTAATGCGAGCACCACATGGCGTGCAATATAGAGGTGGCGGTTCAAAGGTGAGCTTCTCCACTGCACACAGTTGACAAGAGTTCTCACTCATCGAACGCTCCATTGCTTGATTTTTTTCTGCCTTCGCTTTACTCTATCAAATGGAAAAACATAAATAAAGAATCTCATCATCAAACAAAGGCATAAAATATAGTAGGAAAGAACAAAAGACAACCATCATCCACATCCACCAACAAAGAAAAAAAGGTATGCTTGGCATATGGGTGAAACATAATCTAGTTTTAGCAGCAGACTAGCGCCTCATTGCCAACTAAATGCCATGACTGAAAACCATATTACCATTACTAAACTATAGGAATCCACCAAATAAATGTGGATTAGATAGTCCAAAAAATAAAGGCGCACAGTGTCATACAGGTTTACAGCAAGATGGTAGAAGCCTTGTCAGTTGAATGCAAATTTTGTTTTTTAAGAAGAACCAAAATATTGATCAACTCAACAAAGCTTTTTCCAAACAACTTGGAGTCGGTTACATTAATCCTATTTTTCATTATGCTCTGCCATAGCCTCAGTCAAAAAAATCTTTTAGCTGGAGCTGCAAACGAGCTGAGCCGTTCGCGAACAGCTCGGGCTCGGCTCGGCTCGATTTGAGCTCGGTTCGTGTTCGTTTGCTTAGTAAACGAACCGAGCTCAAACATAATAATTGGGCTCGTTTATTAAATGAGCCAATCTCAAACACCTCCATGCTCGGCTCGTTAGTTCGTGAACAGGCTTGCTTAGGTACTCATTTTGAGCTCGTAAATATATATATATATATATATATAATACAATTATATAAAATATAATATGTGTTTAGCCCAACATACCAAAGGTCCAATTAAGTGTTTAATAATCTCACACTTTTATTAGGCCCAATCCAAACCTCACCCCTTTCAAATACCCAATATCTTAAGACACTCTCAAGCTGCCCATCATATCTATATATTTTTAGCCCTACCTCAGTCACCATATTTAGCCCCTTTCCAAACAAAACCCTTGCCGTCAATCACCATGGACATCTCTCTTACAGACGAAAGCCACCATCAAGCCAAAGCTCTCAAATCTCACATCGTCGGCAACTGAAAAACAAGGATTGTTGGCGACCTATTAACAATACTCTATCAACACCGAACCAGTGAATGATTAGCTCTCTTATCTTTTCTTTTGATGGAGATCGATATGAAGATATGTGTATATATGCATAACATATACAAAGATGGAGTATTGTTGAGAGAAGATCGATGTGAAGTGCGGCTGTCTCCGGGTGGGTCGGTTCATAAGGCTTCCTGTAGCCCTTGAAGGTTCGCCTTTCTCTCTTTCTCGATTTGCCCACACCTTCAGTTTTCGTGCGTTTCATATATGTGTATGTGTGTGTATATATATATATATACAAACGAATTTCGAGCCGAGCTCGAGTTTTTGGCAAACACAGCTAAGCTGAGTTCAAACACTGAAGCCGAGGCTTGATTCAAGCTCGAGCCGAGCTCGAACGCTCCTGCTGCAGATCGAGCCGAGCTCAAACAGCCCACTACTCGGCTTGGCTCGGCTCAATTGCAGCCCTACTTGGTAGTCTTATTTGCACATGTCATAACCATGTTAATCGATTTTCTCTTATTTTTCTCATTTCTTGTCTTGCCGCACTTCCATATTATGTTACATGAACTTCTCAAAAATACTACTCTAGGACAAGGGCATGGAATATGCGTTGACACATTTAATTGAACATGTACCTAAAAAGCATATCCAATAATTCAATTTAATTATATTATTGCCCAAAACTAGTTAAGTGCCTATTTTGAACACAGTTATGTAAAAAAAAATGGTATTTTACTCAAGAGAATAAAAAGAAAATATTGAATAACATAAATATTTAACAGTGTCTTTGTATCCTTCTCTATGGGAACTTGATACAGCCAACGCTTGCATACATACCTGCACCCAAGGCACGTATTTGAGTCCAGATCACAGCGTCAATATCGACATTTGCATTTCTGCCACACTTCATGCAAATTATGCGTATGTTTGTTTCTTAGTTGTCCAACATTCTGTCCTCAAAAAGAACGGCTGGCTAATAGTTTTATTGTACAATTTCCATATTAATCTAAGAGGGATACGCTGATCACACAATATTCTAAACCCGTTCCTCCATTTACCTCATCCTACCTTGATTTATGTGATTTACATTATTTCTAATGTATCCTTCATTGTAAATAATTGAGTCTAAAAAGCGGAAACACTCACTTTTTAGAACCTCTTGATCCTCAACCTTCACTATATCCTGATTTGTGTTTCTATTTATGCTAAAGTTACACTCCAAATACTCAGTTAGATTCCTACTATCTCAAATTCTTTTATTTCTGGAGCTTCCCTCCAAACCTCCAATTTAGCACTAACTCCTTTAGTTCCATCAAGGAAAACGATATTATTAGTAAATAACATACACCATGAAATCCCATCATGAATGTCTCGTCAGCTCATCCATACCCGGGCAAAAAGATGTGTAATACTCAAAAGATGAAAAATCATTCAAGAGATTCAAGCCTTGCCTTCAGAAGAAAGCACGGAACTTCAAGATGTAGAAATGTCCTTGACTGAGTGAATTAAAATACCAATATCCATGTGTTGATTAATAGGTATTAGAAAAGGGCCATGATCATTTCGTGTTTTACCTTAATAATCTGAACAAATTATATATCAGTTAATTCCACAGCTGACAAAACCTATTCAGTTGATGGGCTACCATTTTAGCACCTTATTGTGCAAGCTGTAGCTGGAACTGAAAATCATTTTAACATTTCATGACATGGCTGCAAACTAGGCAGATAACATAGTGTAGCAAAAAACATTAAGCGAAGAATAAAAGTGAGGTTAAACTGAGGGCTCAGAAAAATGTTTATATAACCAACCCCAAATAGTTGGGAAAATGATTTTGTTGAGTTGAGCTTAGTTGAAAAATGAGATAATTTGACTCTGAATCCTCAGGCACTCCTGTTGCCCCTTCCCTAATTTTCACTACACTACCACCGCAGGTGATGCACCAACTGGCAAAGTTGGAACAAAACCAGAAACCTATCCTAGACACACTTTCGTCAGTGAACCATGATTATTCCTATTCTGCCCTTCATTTTCACAAGGTCCCATTACATGCACTGCAAATGGTGCCTCCTTGGATCCAAATGCCAACACAATTGTAGTTGCATCTATATTGACTCCCGTAGCAATTGCTACTTCTTCTGCCCCAAAACGGCTATGCGCACACCAGTTAGCAACCAGATTGCGCCATTAGACCACGCTAGATTGATTCAGCTATCCCTCCAATTGTTTCCACTACCTTGTTCTTCATCTCCTCACCCTAACAAAACCGCCTTGATATGCATACAACTTGACACTTGCTATGCCTATTTGTTCTGGGGCAGAGCCGAAAAGCCCCCCAAGCCCAGTGAGCAGCCATGGCGTGTGACCTGAGGACTGAGCGGCACTCTATTCTATGATCCTACAGGTTTATGGCTTGATGGTTGAAATCAAAAGGTAACCAAGGTGAGTTTTCTATGTGCTTTACACTGCCTGGCGGGCCTTAAAGATGCCATGTGTTCATTGGAACATATATATGATTATTAATTCTTATGCTCACCGCACTTCACCAAAAAAATATTCTCCTATGATCTAACAACTCACTTAGTCACATCTCTATGACAGATGCATTAGTACCACCGGTGGCCCATGAGCTTATGCACCACCTTTAACGAAGAGAGGCAGCGAGGTGCACAACATGGGGATAAAGGTGGACATGTCTAAAGCCATGACAGGGTCGAATGGAACTATATCTTTTCAATTATGCGCCAGTTGGGTTTTGATCGCCATTGGGTAAAGATCCTATGACTACATTGAATTCTCCAGGTTCTCCCAATACTGCTGCTCTCTACCCAACCAAAGGCTAGCTTTGTTTCCACCTCAGCCCAATCTCCTGAAATTTCAATCACCGTACATGCAGTGCATATATTTCCATAACTGAACCCTACCATGAAAAACACTATATATTTGGCTTTCAACCTTAGATCACTAAGCTATGTGAAAAGACAACCCGTATATGATACATTGCTCACCAAAACATATGTAGGCTATGTTACATGGACTTGTGTATTGTGTCTCGGGTGTGGATATGTGCCTAACCGTCAGATGTATCAAACCTCCAAAAAGGACACATGAACATTGCTTCATATTGTTAAGGTTTTTTTATTTATTATTTTCTAGAGTAACAATTCCTTTTTATGCAATAGAGTATACATAGGGATGTCAACAAGGAGAAAATGGTACCAAGTGTCCCTATCTCAAACCCATTCCACGAAGGAAAATCAATTCCCAAACTCACGCCGTTGCGGGTTTGGGACGCCCCACTATGCATACTTTAAATAAGGGTCAAGTGCAGAAAACTCCCCTAAAGTATGCCTACAGTGCATATCACACCCTTCACGTGCAAAAAACACCCATAAAGTTTCAATTTGGTACAAATAGGTCCCTCTGGCAAATTTAAACCGTAAGTTGACTAAATTACCCTTACTGAACCATTTTATAAAATATATAAAAATAAATAATTTTGTAAAATGACCGAAAATGACACAATTGGACACCCCTCACGTGCAAAAAACACCCCTAAATTTTCAATTTGGTGCAAATACACCCCGTTGACAAATTTAAACCCTAAGTTGACTAAATTACCTTTACTTAACCATTTTATAAAATAGATAAAAAATAAATAATTTTGTAAAATGACCGAAAAGGACACTATTAAAGAACGCCGACAATGGACAAGTAAACATAAAAATAAAAGTATAAAAGAAAAGTAAAGATAAAAATAAAAAATAAAAAATAAAAAACAAAAATAAAGTGCAAACTAAAGAAAACATTTCAGCTTCAAACTCCGAAAACCAGTGCACACTGATATTGGGATTTTTTTTTTTTTTTTTTTTAACATTGTTGTACGGGGAAAAAAATAAATAAAAAATAATAATAATAAAATAAAATAAAATAGTAGAAAACAATAAACTAAAATCTAAAAAAATTCAAATCCTTGCTCTACAAATTCTCAAAGTTTCAAAAAAAAAAAAGAGTTTAGAGATATATATATAGAGAAAAAAGTTTCAAAAATATATATATATAAGGCAGTGTGCACATAACACCCCTATACTATGACATTAGTAGCATATATAACCCCTTGGGCATTTTCGGAAGATTAAAAGGGTAAAACGGATATTACAGCACTAATTTATGTCAAATTTCTGATTTAGGGGTATTTTTGCACAATTTGAAAAGATTAGGGGTGTTTTTTGCACACTTTTTCAAATAGGGAATAAAAGTGCTACGCGGAGTATACTTTAAGGGTGTTTTCTGCACTTGTTCCTTTAAATAACTAGATACCACCCTAAACAAACGCAAGATAGAACTTTTTAGGGAAAAAAAGTAAGTAAAAATAATTTTTTTTTTATAATAATCATAATTTTTTCGCTAACTTTATGATTACAAATCAACAAAAAAAAAAATCAAATATTATCTATTTACATATATTTTTAAAACTAAAACCTTATCAAAAAATAATTAAAAAAATAAAAAATAAAAAATGGAGGATTAAGCGTGAAGCGGATTTTAACTCTCATTCTCAAACATGCTCCTAACCTGATTTAAAATCGAATCAAACCTTTCCCATTAGTTGCAGGGTAAGCCAAATTGACATTCTTAATACAACAAAGGTATTTCACTCATTTTAAATCAATAATTTTTTTTCCCTGAATAAATCAATAATTTAATAAGAATGAATTATTGGATATGCTTTTTAGGTGCATATCCAACCATGTGTCAGACACATGCACCACCCATGTCCAAATATTGTGACCAACATGGGTACTTCACGTACTTTTAAGGAGTAAATATAGCATAGTCCAAAACATGATCTGATCGAGAAACCTTTATACTACATTTCATAACTAAGAGAGTAATACAAGAGCAGATAACAAAATAAGTGAAACATTTGCCTGTGAAATACACTACTTCCCTTTTTTTCATTTTCAGAAGTTCTTTAATATAAAATATAAAAGTTAATGGCACTTTACTGCTTATTTCCTGTTCATGTATATCACTTGACGTGTTATAGCCTTTAGACCCTTTTCACCACAAAGCATTATCCTCTTAGGTTCCAGTTCATTTCTTCTGAATATTGCTTGCAACAGACGAAAACAAGGGAAAAAATCAGAGGAAAGTTTTGGACCGCCAGATTAGTATCTAGAATGATTGTACCGTGGTCTAGTTGTACAATTCAAATCAAATTGCTTAAGTTCACCAAAACTGTGGCAAGAAAATGTATGAGAAAAGGTAATATTGCTATAGTACAAGTGATCTACAAGCAACATCGAAGACCAATGTCTCATATAATGCTTCCAAAGTTCCAATAGCATATATGGGGCATATGTCCTATCTAGTTCCAACTAATAAATCACTTAAAGCTGTATTACGTTGAGGACTTTATTACATAATGTGCGACTGCAAATTGGGTTCATCTTATGCTCCATTTGGTAGGAAGGAAGAAAATTGGATAGAAGGAAAGGAAGAAGGGATGGATGAGACATCCCTAGGGAAAGGATAGTGTCCTTCCTTCATTTTGTTTGGTTGGATGAAGGAGAAGGGAAGGAGGTAACACCTTATTTTGTTTGTTAAGAAAGAAGGGAGGAGAGAGATTGCAAATGTTGGGTTTATCTAATAATTATGAAGGGTGGTATTGTAATTTAAAATTTCCATAGCAGTCTTGCTTCTTTTCCTTCCCCTCTTCAATCCATATTTGGAGGGATAAAAATTTGTAAAGCAGGAAGGATGATTCATCCATCCTCTTCTCTCTTCCCTCGTTGTCTCCTCTCTACCAAACCAATGAAGTTTGTTTCTTCCTTCCTATTTTCCCTTCACCGCTCTTCCTTCCTTTTTAAGAAAGGAACCATTAGGGTAGAGTAATGGTGAAAACTTAATGGGAAAAAATGTGGCCTCTTTACATTGAATTTCCACGAAACATCTAAGACAAACCTACTTTATCTTTTTCCCAAAAACCTGTACTGATTTTCTCTAAGAACAATTTAGAAAGTCAAGTTCATGCAAATCCTTTTTCCATGGTGCCACAATGCAACCCAAGTGTACCTCATATACAAGTCAATTTCCAGTTCAGCAACAGTAATATAACCGATTGACCTTAAGAAAAAGTAATAGAATCATTAGACTGACCTGGCCTACCCACTGCCTGAGACCTCTGATATGCTCCCTGACTTGCTCTGGAGTGAACAGTTCAGTCATTGACACTCCCTTTATTTTTGGCTTCCCAGACTTGGTTCCAGCCGCATTTTCGGCTGCAGGCAATGTCACATTTTCCTGTTTAGCATGGTCCCTCTCTCTCTCAAACTTAAAACTCTCTTGCTTAACAGAACCAGTGGGGTCATTCAATATAATAGGTTCATCATCAGGCCTCACGTTGCAGGTACCATCCATCTTCATCTCACTACCTTGCATGAAACTTGCAGGAATATCCATCTTCACTTCTGTGACCTCAGATTTCATTGGCAAGCAAGTGTGACCATGCTGGTATTCCTCATATTGCACATTCTGGGGAACATGAGGTTCGCTAATGGCGGTAATTGATACAGCGGAATTTTCACTCTCAGGAATAAGAGATTCACACAACTGTTCAATCTTCAAGCGTTTCAAAGAAGGTTTCAAATCTTCTGAAGTTTCAACAACTGATAGACTCGGCTTTGAAGTCAATTGATTGATTGAACATGCTAAACCAGAACTAGAATCTAGATTACCACGTGGCTTCAGTTTCGTTTGCATATAATTTCTGACAGGAACACAAACAGGGCAAACTTGGTCCCTACAATGTTGGTGATGATTAAGTAATATCTTGGTATGGTGGCAACGAGGATATGGGCATTGAGATACATTGCATCGGTCCAAATGCCTCCACAGTTTTTGAACAGTTACACAATTAGTTTCTTGGCATTTCCCTTCTGGAGCTGCACATCGACGAGCATGCCGCAAGAACAACAGCCACCTTTTCTGATTCCTGAACTGCTTTTCACGGTTTGGATGAGTAGATCTACAGGTAGGTGCACTTGAATGTGGGGGATCTGCTGCTCTAGTAGTAACAGTTTGACAAGTGATGGACCCTTCTGAAGATGCATTATTGCGCTGAGCTTCATCTTGCCCAATTATTCTATGACGAAATTCCTCTTGGATGTACTGCTCAAGTGACAACTTCCCTGATATGTGTGACCTATCTTGAGATTTAGGTTGCCATTGACCCTGAAGCACTGCCTCTGATTGTCCTCCAACAGAAACACAACCATATTTATTTTGGGAGTCAGCAACCAATTGATGTGGATTCAACAATTTTTGCATTTGTCTTGAAGTTTGATTTATTGATGAGCAAATATCCTGTTGGCCTGAAGGAAGAGAGAGCAACTGAGTACCTCCAGAATGAACTTCAGCCGAGTTCTGCTGAGATTTGTTCTGCAAGTCAAAGAGTTGGAACTGTTCAGAAACTTGTGATTGCAGAGCTTCATCATGTTGCTCCATTCCATAATCGTGCAGTACTTGACCGCCTAGATCAGATGACATCTGAGACTGACTAAAAGCATCATTCCTTGACAAAAGCTGCTGCTGGTGACTTTGCTGTTTTTGTTGGCCTTGATGTTGAACAAATTGTGGTGGTTGTAACTGATGAGATTGCTGTTTATGAGATTGTGAGAGATTCTCATGCAAAGACTGTGAAGATTGGAAATTTGTCTTTTCTGATTGATCGACTGGTTCAGGCTTTATTAAATGTGCAGCCTTTTGACTTGTTTGCAAATTTGACTGATTAGTCACCAAAGGAGAGTTGGTCTTGGATGCAGCCTGAAAGCTTACTGGATTCAAATTCTGATTATTCATCATTGATCCAGCAGAGTTAACAGGACCATATAAGTTTCCAGAAGCAGAAGAATCAGCATTGCTCATCCCATATCCATCACCTGCCAGATAATTTTTTTACAGTAAGAACGCTTTAATAGGCAACAACAACGAAAATATACTTCTTCCACATTTTCTAGAAGTGTGCATATCAGACCTCACAAGGTATATAATAATGAGAGAATTAGTACCTTGCATTGCTGGTTGATGATGTTGGTTGTAATTTTGTTGCAAAGGTTTGAGTGAATTGCCATACGGTGTTTCCGTCAGATAACCCTCAGAAGTTCCTGGACCATTCACAAGTTGCAAATTGCTTCCCATCATCCCTAACCCACCATTTAAAGCCCCATTTAGATATCCATAAGATTTCTGTTGCAAACCAGACCTAATTCCACCGCCCATATGGCTGCCAAGGTTGTGCAGTATACGGCTGTTTTGACCACCAAAATGCTGCTTTTGCTGAAGTGGTTGTGACACCATTGCAGATTCAACAGTTGAAAACCCCCCATCATTTTTAGAAGATTCCAATTTCATATGAGACTTATTGTTATTACTATTAAATCCAGGAGTGGGGATCATTTGGCTAGTCATTCTTTGTGCACCCATTGCTGGCATCATGTTGTTTCCACTGGAACTGATGGAAAAATTGGAGGCTGGCTGTTGATATCCATTAGATAGAGATCCTGCAGAAGTGGATTATGTTACACTAGAGTAAAGAAACAGAAATCAATAGCATTACTCACTCATAAGATCATAAGAGTTTTAAGTACCATCTGATGAATTGAAGGAACCACCATGAATGCCAACAGGAGGCCCATTGGAAGTTTGCAACAAGTTTCCAGTGCTCACATTCGTGGAAGCTATGCTATTATATCCAGTGGCAGCAATTATGGAAGTATCCACAGATGATGTAACCATCAAGCTCGAGTTCCCACTGTGAGGCATACCAGGAGTCGGTATCATTGTACCCACAGGAGAGGAAGAACTAACCAGTTGTGAATATTGTTGGTTGTGATTACTCAAAGGTAGGCGCTTGATCAAACCATGTAATCGATTCTCTAAGGTTTCCAGGTTCTTATAATCCTCCTAAGAATGCAAGAAAGTGCTTGTCAAAATTTTAAAATATATATACATATATACGCAGTAAAATTCATTTATATTACGACTTGTGAACATGGGGTGTCTGACACAGCAAGTCCTAATAAACAAGACAAGGGGTCACTGTTTATGTATTGATTTGTTTTTACATGTGTTCTGAATTTAGGTAAGCCTTCTTCATTGTCACTGTAGATATAATTAGATCAAATTTGTCATTCCATGTGTATTCATCAAAGAATTAGTGTGAATATGCAAAGAATTTCAAAATAAAGAGCTTCATCTAAGTTTAAACTCAGCAGAGGGATTGTTTAGAAACCATTGCGTCATTTATCCAATGAATTGGTGATCCTTAGTGTTGTTTGGGCACCATGACACAGCAGATCTTTTTCTCGTCTCCAGCAACGGGTATGGCAATTTCTAATCTCTCTCTCTCTCTCTCTCTACACACACACAGCCCTCCTCCCATTATTATCACTACTCTTATTTCATTCATTCTTATTACTCCTCATCACAGGATATTAATCCATAAGTCTCAGATCATGTGCCAACACAGGTCAACACATGTCCGTTTTCAACACATTATCAAACAATAGTGGGGCCATGTCCTGCAGATCTAGAATTTAAGTAGTTAAAGAATCAACAGTTTGCAGTAAAATATCGGAACTGCTGCTGTAGTCGAATGTAGTCATTAAGTTTAAGGTTTTATCCATCATAATCCAAAACACAGTCCAACAACGCAGAGGAAACTTTCTTGTTGAAAATAATCCCCCCCCCCCCAAACCCAAAAACCCAAAAAAAAAAAAAAAAAAAAACCAGCCCTTCCAAGAAGGCAAAAAAGGGAAGAAGAAGAAAAAAGGCAAAGCACTTACTGTTCTATGCTTAAGAGTATTTTTGTTGGATGGAACTCGGGTCTTGGACTGGAACTAGATAGAGGTCCAAATTCCAAATCTACTGTTTGGTTGCCCAGATTAAGTTTGGATTTGGAGTTCAATTAGAATTTGAAACCACTCAATTTTACAATCACAATTCCGAAGTAAATGTTGGACTTCTAATTCCAAATTGGAAAGGAATTGCTTAAAAATGAAGCCCGATGCATTGAGCATCACATTCTTCATCCTTCTAAGCCTCCATTAAAACTTCCATGCCTACCTCAACACCGATGATCATGACTGTGACAACATGCCAGTCCTGAGTGCAACGACAAGCAGACAGTGAATCTGACAACAAGCATGCCGTGACTGCTACACCAAGCCAAAGGAAACTGCTATATATATACTCAAATATCTATCCTACTTGAGATGCGTGTGTTGTATCCAGAGTTTCTCCCATTTCCTCTGAGGAACAGTTGAACAAACGACTCATGAATGCAGCAGGGTGGGATGAGCCAATAACTCAATTCTGACTGTCACAATTTTTGGGACTTTATTTATTCTTTTGTCGTTAAAATCAAGTTAGACCGTTCTGTGAGAAGTTTTCAAACGTGTTCGATCTGTCTTTTGAGCAAGAGTCACACGTTACCTGGTTATTTTAATTCAATTTGTCAATGGATTTGGAGCTGCTGTTGCCTATTCAGGTACTTAAAATCCCCAGAACTTTGCTTCTTATGATGTAGATTTAGCCTTGTCTCAATTTGATCTTTGATAATGGTTGGTTATAGGCTGTAAAAGGTTGAAACTCATGCCGTTCCCATTTGCATCCGAAATGTTAGATGAAGGTCTTCTCAGAAATGTAGTTTCTATGAACTGGTTTGGATTACGTACCGAAAACAATACAGTTCAGATGCATTGAACATGGCTTGGGGGCGTACAGAAGAATGCCTAGACAAACTTTTATACTATCAACCCCAAAGGCAACTACTGAGATAGTATCTACGAAATTTCTAAGGATTGGTTTATGGTCTACCTTGTAAATCGAACCAAGCTGAACCATGTGCACCCTTGTGTATCTCTTTCTTCTTCAGACACTAATTGTTGTGAATTTCAATTGCCAATGAGTAATTTAACCAAACAAGAAAGTTTGGATTATGGATTAAATTTCAAATGAATACCAGACTCGATTAACAATGAAATTCCAAACATGTGGACTAATGATCCATTAATTTCCGATTCCATATTTGAAATAAATTCCAATTCTGTGCAACCAAACACATCGCTACTGTAACAGGAACAACTTCACCCAACATAGTGATCAAGATATATGTCACAAGCACAATTGTATAAGGTAAAAACAGAAGTAAAACTGACCTCTGAGTGGGCAGCCCTAAATAGACCCTCCTCTAAGCGTCTTACAATATCCATTACTCTCTTTAGTGGTATTCCGTAAGGATGTTGCAGCCGCTGCGAAAGATATTCATAGCTGCAGAAAGGGAGATTGCAAAGCTTGATAAGCACTCAGTAATGTAGAAAAAGCTCCTAGACGTGCCATGCATGTTTAAAAAGTAATTGGTTCCAATAAACATGTTAATAAATAAAAACATGTTAGTTAAGATAAACAATAATAGTAAAGAGGAGATGAAGAAGAAGAAGAAGAAATATAACAGTAGTAAGGCTCCTCTGCCATGCCAAAAGTATGTGATAAAAGACAGAAAGATGAGAATATATACCTTACGCAAGAGAACTTCATTTCTTGCTCAAAAAAATTGGAGTAGAAGTTACTTATCAAAAAGAATGCAGTAAGAAGATAAACATTTATACTTTTATGCAATGACTTGTATTATAATAAATCATAATCAACTTGTATATGCATAAGATGCATATAATCATCATCAGTAGTATGTTCCCTCTTTTTCTTCATCCAGAGATTGGACTGCAGCTCAGGTTGCAACATAAAAGAAGCATCTTTTTATCCTTTCTTGAGGGGAAAAAGAGAAGGAACTAGTTTCTTTCCAAAAGGAGGAAAATGAGAGAGAGGGAGGGAGGTATGAGAATAAGAGGAACAAAGCTACTTGAGCTTGGCTTGTTCGTCTAGTTAGATTCTAGCTTAAGAATGCTTGTTACAAAAATGAGCCAAGCCTGATCATATTTTAAATTTTAACAATTAAATGAGCTACGTTAACACCCAACTTGATAAGCTAATGAACATACACTATAAAAACAAACTACTCAAGCTTGGGTCAATATCCTATTGTGAGCTCCTCAATTTATTGAGCTTGGCTAACTGAGTTGATAAGCAAATGAATTCCTAAATTAAAAACCAAGCCGCTCAAGCTAAAAAATCAACTAACCCAAGTAAAAGATTGCTCCAGATCTAGAGAAACAAGACAAGGTCGAGCCTCATTTTGGAGCTCATAAATTTTACATGCTAAACTTGAGTAACCCGCCATTGCTTGTTTACATTCCCAAAACAATAGGTCAACTGGTATTCAATAGCATCATGTGAAGAGTTCATCCTCAAATTGCATGTATTTATTATTGATCTTTTAAGTGCCTATTGACCGCATTCCAAATTTAGAATGTGGTCCTAACAGGAGCAAGAAAATCATTTTCAGACCCGGCCCCACCTTCTCCATATGTGTGTACACACTCAAATGCCACTAATAACAAACTCAACATTGATATAATCTGTGCAAAGTGGCTGCACCAAGACAAAACCCGTGTTCCCACATTTGGCAGTTTGAGCTTTACAGTCACGGACTCATTTTAGTTAACACAGAAACCTAGAAAACTATAATAAATACAAAATATAAGTACCAGTCTTACATCTTATCTTGCATAAATCTGCGTGCAGGCTCCATATTGAGTGTATCATGATTAGGTACCTGCCCTGGTATCTGTCCGGACACATGTGCCTGTACATTCATTTTTACCTTCAAGGCTACTGAATCCCAACTGCTGCATAACCCAAAAAATCAGAAGTCCACCTTCTAAATGAATATCCCGTTAAATCACCTGCAATAATGCACATTCATCAACACATGTTAGATGTAATAAGTTCCTTCATGATGTATAATTTGACGCTATATGCCTTATACCTGGTAGAAGGACAAAAGCCTATCAACTTTCAATTCAGTTAGTGACAACTTTATGATTGCTATTTATAATTGGGCATTGGGGGCTACCACAACTGGACAAGGATTTATGCAAAGACAATTCACAAATTTTGAACAGGAGTAAAGAAATATATGTTAATGGAGAAAAATGGCAGAGCATAAATAATTTACATAATGTAGTGCAAGAAGGAGAATGAAAGCAAGGATGATGATGATGAGTACAAGGCGAATGAAAGCACTAAATTAAGAGGAAACAATAAGTATAAATATAAAGGAGAACTAACTGATTCAAGTATAAATGATCACACAATACACAAAAAATTAGTTACATCCATCTTCTCTTTCCCCACTTCTCGAACCTTGAAACATCTAGAGCACACATGCAATATAATTACAATGACAAAGATCAGTTAAGGTAATTAGACTTGACAGGAGTTCATAGAACATTACAAGATAGTCATAAGCAATTGAATGTCAATTCAGGAGATTGAGGAGATTCAATTTTGGTAAGTCTACTGAAACATCAAATCGAATTGATCATTAAATTAAATAGAGCAAGATAATATAATCAACACCCAGGAGATCGGGCATCATGATCCGAATTATAGAATCCTATTATTCTTTTTTTAGTACCGTGCATTACGATACATTACCATTGAAAATTCACTAGGTTATCTACAAGACTCCTGCTGAAGTCTTTTGGACCATTAGAGCTGTTAAAGGCAAGCCAACACTCCAACAAGAGCCCCTGGTTGTTAACTTAGCTGCTGGAAATCACATCAATAAGTTGACTCAATGATTGTGGCAGATTTATTGGGTCTTCATTATAGGCTAATGTTTAGGGATTTTATTTTTATTCTAATTTGATTTTATTCTCTTTATTCTTATTTGATTTTATTCTCTTTCCATATTTGTAATTTTCCTCTTATATATAATGATAGTCAGGCTCTCAAATTGAGTACGCCAATTTTACCAAGTTACTTTTTGGTATCAAAGCCTCTAACCTACGCCTCCCCCCCCCCCCCCCCCCTTTCTCTCTCTCTCTTTCACCGCCTCTTTTAATCTCTCTCTCTCTATCTCGTCACAGCCCCTTCCCTATTTCTTTTTTCCTTTTCTTCACAAACCCTCTCTCTTCTTCAAGCCGCTGTTGCGACAGTCCTAGGGGGAGCCAATCTCCTCTAGGTTCGACCCCTGTAGGGGTATTCCCTTAGTCTCTTTCATGCACCAAGGGTCAGAAGACGTGTTTGTAATTTTTTGGGGCTGCCGGGATATTCGGCAGCATTTTCGGATCAGATCGCCATTTCTCCTGCTTCTTGGTTTGATCAAAATCAGGTTTATTCCTCCTTTGTTTGAAATTATTGGTGATCTGTTGAATTGTTCTATTTAATATTATGGTTGATTCAAGTAATAATAAAGAAACTCTCTCTTCGGCACAACACACACTGGCTCAACGAGTTACTAGTGTGCTGTTGAATGGCTGTAATTTTGCATCCTGGGCTCGTTCCCTCCCCCTCTATGTCGGTGGAAAAGGCAAATCAGGGTAGAATTTTGGTACTAAAAATATGCCAGATATTAAAGACCCTAAATATGCTTAGTGGGATATGGACAATTGCACCATTTTAGGATGGATGTTTAATTCTATGGAGGAACGCATTTATAATATATTCATGTTTTATGACTCTGTTAATGACTTGTGGATTACTTTGAATCAAATGTATGCTCATTCTAGGAATGATGCTCATATTTTATAATTATACCAAGATATTGCTAAGGCCTCGCAGGAAGGCCTGAATTTGTCTGTAACTGATTACTTTAGGTATTTGAGATTTAGTTGGGAGGAACTAGCTCAATATGAGCCTCTCAGTGAATTTCCTTCCGAGGTAGCCTCTCTTCTTGTCAAACGTCTTGATCGTCAGCATACCTATCAGTTTTTTATGAGATTACGCCCAGAATTTGAACCACTAAAGTCTCAGATCTTGAATGCATCACCAATGCCATCCCTGTTGGAAGCCTTTGCTACTGTTGATGGTAAAGCATGCAGGCACCGTTTAATTCAGCCCTAACTTATTCCTCTACCAGTGTCTGAGCCTGCTGGGGATAGTATGGCTTTTGCAGCCAACTTTGGATCACGTGCTTCTGGAAGTCAGATTATTTGTCACCATTGCGGAGGGGTTGGACATGTTAAGGCTCGTTGCTTCAAACTTCAACCTGAACTGAAGCAGAAATTTTCTAGGAACCGTTAATCTGGAACTGGTTCTTCTCGTACTGCTGCTATTGCAGAGACTCATGCTACTACTAGTGGATCTACTGTATTTCCTGCACTGAGCCAGCTTCAGTCTCAAATTGGGCAGATCCAGGACCAGCTTGGCTCCCTTGCTTCTAGAGTTGGTGCTCCTTCAACTGCTCCCATTGCCACTATTGCTACAGGTACTCATCCTGCATTTCATATTAAGGCCAAGCAGCCCACTTAGGTTCTAGATTTTGGGGCAATGATCACATGATTGGTGAGTTATCAGTTTTTTCTTCCAATGTCATACCTGTTACCCAATCTGTGTATCTTGTGGATGGCTCTACATCTTACATTCACAGTAAGGGTAATGTTTGTCTGTCTTCTGATATTACTCTTTCATCTGTCCTTCATGTACCTAAATTTGCCTTTAACCTTTTATCTGCTAGCCGGCTTGCAAAAAACCTCCAATGTGCAGTTATATTCTTACCAGATCACTGTTTGTTGCAGGACCTTTGTTCAAAGAGGATTTTTGGCGGGGGTTATGAGCGTTATGGGCTTTACTACTTTGGGGAACCACCAGGAACGAATCTTCAAGCTTCTGTCCTACCTACTTCTAGTGTTTATGATTTTTTTTTCGCACTTTTAGTCTATGGCATCTACGTTTGGGGTATGTAAACTTTCAGTATCTATGTTTATTGTTTCCTTCGTTAAATAAAGCATGTAAGGACCATAAGTTTCAATGTGAAGTTTGTGAGCTTTCTAAACATACTAGAACTAGCTATATTTCTCATATGAGCCGTGCTCCTAGTATGTTTGATCTTATTCATTCTGATGTCTGGGCCCTTCCCCAGTTACTGCTTTCTCTGGGCATCGATATTATGTGACATTTATTGATAATTATTCTCGTTGTACTTGGGTTTATTTATTGAAAAAGAAATCTGATGTGTTTCTTTTATTTACCCAGTTTCTTCAAATGATCAAAACCCAATATAACACTGTTGTCCGTAATATTCGTTCTGATAATGGACATGAATATGTTTCGAATGAGTTCTGTACTGAACTTAACAAAAATGGGATTTTACATCAACTCACTTGCCCCTACACTACTGAGCAAAATGGCGTGACTGAACGCAAAAACCGTCATCTTATGTCTATGGTCCGATGTCTTCTAAGTGGTATGCATGTGCCTAAATTCTATTGGCATATGGCTGTTCTAATTAATCGTACTCCCAGTCGAGTTTTGGGTCGTAAGGCCCCACTTCAGATTCTCCAGCCTGATTATACATTGTTTCACCTTCTACCTCGCGTTTTCGGTTGTACTTGTTTTGTTCATAACCGTAGTCCTTCTCGTCATAAACTTGATGATAAATCTATTAGGTGTATATTCTTGGGGTATTCTGCTATGTCAAAGGGTTATCGTTGTTATGATCCTGTGGCCAAACATATATATCATTCTCTTGATGTGACATTTCATGAAACTGTTCTTTTTTATCGTACTAATTCTGTGATACAAGATCCTCTCTCTTATGGTTTGGAGAAGGAGATTTCTCCTATTGCCCGTCATGTTCCTCTCTTTGAAAATCACACTGTCCTGGAATATCCCTCTCCATCCATGCAGGATTCCCCTCCACCTTTGCAGGTCTACTCTCGTCGCCATCGCACTCAACCTCCCTTGCCAGAATCATCTTCAGAACCAGGTCCAGATAACTCTTCTTCTCCTGTGGCTCCTACCATTCATGAGCATACATCCCATTATCCTACCCGTGATTGTCACCCTCCTAATTGGTTTGTATTCTCTAGTAGCACTAACCACCCTATTTCCCAATATGTCTTCTATGATGGTCTTTCAGGTACATATAAATCCTTCCTGGGCAAGATTGGGACCGTTTCTATTCCTCGATCAATGTCAAAGGCCCTCAGAGGCCCTCCAGGATCCCAATTGGGTGTCTGCTATGACAACAGAAATGGATGTTTTACAACATAATAATACATGGGAACATGTTACTTTACCTGCTGGGGAGAAAACGGTTGGCTGCAAATGGTTCTTTAATGTGAAGTACTTAGTCGATGGTTCTATTGATCGGTAAAAGACTCAGTTGGTGGCAAAAGGCTTTACTCAGATTCCGGGTAAAGACTTTGGTGCTACCTTTGCTCCTGTGGCAAAGTTGTCATTGACGTCTGTGCGACTGCTTATCTCCTTGTCTGCTGCCCATTCTTAGCCTCTGCATCAGTTAGATGTCAAAAATGCATTTTTTAATGGAGACTTACTTAAGACTATATATATGGATCCACCCCCTGGATTTCGAGCTGAGGGGGAGTATGCTGGGAAAGTCTGTCGGCTGCGGAAGTCTCTTTATGGTCTGAAGCAATCTCCTACAGCGTGGTTTAGTCATTTCAGCGATGTTGTTCTATCCATGGGCTTTGTGCGCTGCCACTTAGACCATACTTGCTTTATTCGACGTCGCTATGATTGTCATTGCATTATGTTATTGGTATATGTGGATGATATCATTATCATAGGTCGTGATGCTTCATCAGGCGAAACTTCATCTTCAAAAGTCCTTTGATGTGAAGGACTTAGGTTCTCTTTGATATTTTCTGGGAATTGAGGTTGCTAGATCCTGTCGTGGAATTTCTTTATCTCACAGGAAATATGTTTTGGATCTTCT